CCACCTAATGTTGGCTTCGTATTAAAACACAGAACATAGTATAGATATAAACCTGCAAGTCCTGACTCATCTAGGGCTTAAGGGTACTTTGAAATAGTGTGTTATCATTACCAAACAGCATGACAGGGGTTCTGTGGAGAAGTCAAATTTGCCTATCAAGTTCTACCATTTATAATACATGATATTTAAATATTTACTGCTTACTAATACTTACCAACATTGGTTCTCATGGATTTCAACTCTGAACATAAATTCCTGAAACCCTGTTCTTATGTACATGCATTTTAACATTTAAAGGGGCTTGAACCCCTCTCCTGTACCTGAGGTACTCAGGTACAGCCAGGCTTTCATACTGTCATTTTATGTCACGTAAAGTTTCATGAAGTCATTATGGCATCCAAAAGGATGACTACGCACCACTGCAGGTCTGCTCAGATAAGCAGCACCCCACGGCACACACCGGGCCAGGGTTTGCACAGTGATATAGCGAGGCACAGACACACAGACATGGGTGCCCTCACATCTGGTTCTTTACCAACAGTTGTGACCACACGGAACGGGCGTTCTGCGAGCACTGGCTCCTTCGGGAAGAGCCGCTCGCGCAGGCTGCCAGTCCCCACACACATGACTCTGGATCTGCTGAAGATGGTATTTGAAAAGGAGCGCTGCCAGCATTCACCAGGCAGCTCTACAAACGAACTGCTCTGTGTCAGCGCAATTTGAGTGTGTGGAGCAGCCTCTGAGGGCTGTGTTTTTACGAGCAAATACGAATTTGGTTCCACTAAGAGACGCAATGTCAGTACAGTGAGCAAGAGTATATGAAAAACTGGTTTATCTCTCAAAGAACAGTAGTGATAACATGGATTAATAGATCATGTCATGATATCAAATATTTTTGCATCTACTAAGATTTATTATTCAAGGGACCGGGCTAAAAAATCCCACATCATAAGCCGTTATTTCAAGAAGAAAGAGAAGTAAGCTTTTTGCTTTCTGGTTAATATTAGTAGATTACTCACATTAGAAAAGTGAAAATTATAAGTTCTTCAGTCTTACAGATCGTTTAGTTTTAGTGGAAAGGCTACATCAGTATCAACTGTCTGCAAAATAACATGACTATCTTTCCTTGCTAGATGTGCAGAAATATTGTAGCTTCCTCATGACTGACAATCAGCTTAACCTAAAATAAGGCTACATTTTTTTTCATAAGTTCTAATTCCAATTTTTTTATCTGGTGGTTTATACCACGAGTTTAACAAAAAAAAAAAAAGTAAACACTAGAAAGATCCACCTCATCACTGAAACAGACAAACTACTGCCACTTATTTGAAGCATCACAGACATTGCAGACTGGTATGGGGACCCTCCGCAGGGCCAGGAAGTGTCATTCACAAACAAAAACAATATGACCTCACTTAATTGCTTGTCAGTGACAGGGTCAACTTTGTTTGTACAACTGCTGAGTATCGCACTGTTTGCATCTACTGATATGCCACTCCAGTACCCACAATCACTCAATGACAAGAGTAATCTTGAAAACAAACTTATAACTATAAAATTTTAAATCAATACTTTTGAAAGATATTGTATCTTATATTTATTTCTTAAAAGGGACCGTTGTGAAACCCTTTGCTGGTCTGTAGGCAATAAAGACCGCTGCTTTCAAGAGCATTGTTCTTCACAAGCGTTGACTGTGTTCAAGTGACCTTTTGAGGGATTAAAAATTATCTACTTCACAGGCCTTTTGGTCAGAGAACCACAGTTTTGGGTACTAGTTTGAGATTTTCATCTGGCATGTTTCAACACAGATAGCCTGTCCTAATTTTAATCAGGGTATTAACTGAACCCTCCACAGACCTTTAGATTAACAGCACTAACCAAGGAGCAAAGATTTCCTCTTATTTTCCTTTAAAAGCAATGAACTTGCAGTTCTTATTAAGACCAAAATAAGGAGAAACTTCCAGAGTAACACTTAAAAAGTCCCTCTAGCTTCTGTATGGTTCTGGGATAACCACTACTGTAGTTGCAGGCCTGCCACACAGCTGGTTTAGTCTACTGATACCTTGCTTGCACTAATTTTCCTATTCAGAATTCCCCACCTGATAAAAAGCAAGTCAGAAGAATTCAGGGTAAGTTTCCTGCCACAGTAAGACACTAGACATCCATCTCCCTACATGCAGGGTCTCACGTTTTTATCAAACTTCAGATTTTAACTGAATTTTGTCTCTAGCTGGGGGTAGATAAAGCACAAGCATTTCGTTGAAGAGAGTTTCTCTTCTAGTGTTTCATGCAAACCTTTAAACATTCACAGGGTGTTCACACCTGACCTGAGGTGTGACCAACGCAAGGTTCTTTCAGTTCTCTGCCTTCAGCAGGAGCGAGAACAAGGTCAGCTGTGACTCACAGGGAATGAAAGCAGGTAGCCAGGGTTTCCAAGAAGGATCACCCTTTACCTCAATGCTTTTAAAAAAAAATAGGAATTCAACAACCAGTCTGAAATAGCTGAACAAAACAATGTTTGAAAACCAAACACTGAGGGTTAATGAGCAGAGCAAATAAAATACTATTTATTTAGACTGTTGCTAGCCAAGAACAGCATAGATTGCAAGTATGAAGTCTTAACTCTCTGAAATCCCGTTTCTGGTCTTTAAAGTGTGTAGACAATATATCACAGAGCAAAAACACACTTCCTCAATTTAACCTTCAGAAACTGAATCACCTAATGACAACACCGTGGCAGAACATTCAAACATGGCTTTGAGCCATTTATTGCATTTATTTTTTTTTTGCTTCAGGGAATTGTAACAATCTATCAATTTCAAATTTTCAAAAAATCAAATCTCAGATACCATGTCCTCCATATTCTATTAAAAGGTAAAAGAGATGAAATCAATGAAATTAACTAGATGCTCCAAAAGAAAAATCATCACTATTCAAGAAAACCTAAGACATTGTGAAAGATAGTCTAAAAAGAAAAAGTAGTGCTTAGAGCTTAAGCAAATTAAAAGGAAGTTAATAAAGTTCTTAGAAAAGTCTGCCCCTGTTTACTTGTATCCATTAAGTTTATGGAAAATAATGATAACAAATAGTTCAACATGCTCTATTTCATTTCCTTCTTCTCAGTACTTGCTAATTCAACACTAGTTTTTTCTACTCAGAAAACTAACAAAATCACAAGTTTCCTTGGGGGTAGAGAGGGGAAGGAAGAGACAGGGTTGCTGAAGAATTGTAAGAGAAAGTATGTCAGGAAACAAAAAGTACACACTGCAGATACACAATAGATTTCCAAGAAAAGTGCAATTATTGCACTACTTTTGCTAGAGAACAGAGAGTTAATGTGGCACTTCGAGAGCTAAAGCCTTAGTGTGTGGCTTACGAGATTACAGCTTTTCAAGTTTCTACCCAAACTTAATTTTGTTTTCTCGTGCACAAATCAAAATGTGTGGCACTTCATTTTTAAAGTAAATATGCAGAAATAATAATAAAATATTCTCTCCCAAGGTCATATTTGGGGTGAGATTTGAGCTAGCAGGTTGGTATTATCTGGGCAGCTGTATTTGCTCAACGAGATCTTCAGAACTCTTGGAAAATTTATTTTAATTTTGGAAGCCTGATTTTAAAGACTAAAAGTATTGCTTTTGGTAATTTAATTCAAGAGAACAATATGGCAGGGGTCACCTCTTTGAAGGGTGCTCCATGTGAAGGCAAACAGTCAGGAGTAGGAAAGCTGTTCTAAATCTTTACTTAATCTCTAAGAACCAAGAGCAACTGGCAGCTGGATCACAAGTGCTGACCAACTATTCTCATTTGTACTTTCCTGTTGCCTCCCTTTTCTGACAATCTGTAGGGAACTGCAGGCATTCAGAGCTCAAACTGCACATTTTGAATTACAGACACAAGCTTAACAGCAAGAAAAAGTAAAACTTGCATTTCCTGAGGTGGTATATGCTGGGAACAAGCACTGCAGATTGCAAAACCGACAAATTATGGGTGCCCTTTAGAGCCTGTTTATGGGTTCATAGTCCTCAGGCTTTATGGTTATACTTTTTCTCCTGGACACTGATGTGCACGTAAAGATCATGAGATTCCTCTCATTTCTATATTATGTTTGATTCAGATCAAATCAATTGAAATCAAAACCTATCCAACATAGGTTGGTGGGGTTTTTTTACACGCTGCAGTCACCTGTCCTGCTTTCAGGAGTTGGTCCAGAATAAGCACCAAGAGACTTGTTACAAAGTAGATGCAGCAGCAATTTCAACCCAGTGTCAACATCCAGAGATTTTAAAACTGTTTTCCTCTGACCTGCTCTGGGACTGAAGCTCACGGGGCAGAGAGGGAACCTCCTCTCATGGCTATTGTGCAGTACAGTAACCAGATACAAAGAGAAAGAAAACTTCACGAAAGTCTTCACAGAGCATAACACCATGGAGCTGACTCAGAGGGTCGCTTTTCTGTGATGAATTAGTCACTACAAGAGGCGGCAAGCTCATGGTACTTGAATTGCTGTCACTGCAACAGTAGGGTTAATACCTGGCATGACAGCTGATCAGTCTTTGAAAATTTACAATTATTCTCTCAGAACCAACCAAGAAAGGTGTTTTTGTCAGAATTACAAAGTTTTAGCACGTCTTCCTATTTGTCAGTTCTCAAACACAGGGGTACCATTTATGATTTGGTTTGTTTCTTTTCCTATACATCCTCTTTGCATTGTGTTAATACAAAGAGTTAGAACTCAGGAATTTTGGTCATGAAGCTCAGCTCTGTAAAAAAAGAAAGAATCAATATTCATTAAGGAAGGTTTTTCAGGTCCCAGAACCAGTATGTAACAAGTTTAAACCTTTGAGTCAGTTTTGAACAAGGGACCTTCAACAATGCTCCTCCAACCCCCCGTAACAGTAATATTGCCACAGCTTTTATTACAAACTGTATTCTCAGCATTTGCCTGTTCAACCACAGACTTGTTTTACACCTGTGTTAATGCAGAAACCTTTCCTCACCTTTAACGTGGCAGCCAAGCTGGCCATGTGTTCATTCAGAGTGCTCTCCGACTCCTTGTAAGTCAAGCAGGTGAACTGATATTCCTCTGGATCAAAGGCATCTGCTCCCTGCTGCTCCACGTCGTTAGCTACCCCATCATAATAATCCTCAATATCCCCAGGATCCTCATCCTCTTCCTCCTCCTCGCAATTAGGGTCATAATCCTCTTCATTGCTGTCAGAGCCCTGGCTGTTCATGTCCACGGACATCTTAATGCCCTGCCAAACTGCAGACCAGGAAAGCGACCGCAGCTTCTTTTTTTTCCTCCAAACTTTATCGTTCTTTTGATTTCATCTGAGCTCTGTCTCCTAAGGGAGGAAAAACAATTTTTTTCTGTGCCTAAGAAATTGTAAGAGAGGCCACGTCAACATCATACATGTGATCAAACAGCCAGGAGTGGACCGACCCAGCAGCCCAGGTAAAGAAGATTCTGCTGTGCACGTCCCTGGTTTGGATCCATTGCGACTCCTTGCATCTTCAAAGCCGAGGCTGGTCTTACAGGCAAGGTCCAAATCCTTGGAGACTGGGTTATTAAATTGAATCCTAGTCCCCAGTGCTGGCCCCGAGGCTTCTGACACTTGGAAACTGACTGTGTAACCTTCACTACAGATCTTTGCAGAGATACAACTGAATTTATGACAAAGTCTTTTATCAACAGCCTGAACTGCTGCAGAACAGCATCCTATCCATTTCATAAACAGGACAAACACAAACCCCTTAACTATGACCACAGTAGCTAGAAAGGCAACCTGTAATGCCCTGTGCAACTCCATATTGCTTCAGAACCACAGCCATTAGGTGGGACTTTGGAAAACAAGAGAGGCAAACAGATGTCTCACATATACACAATTTAACAGTCTTCAGTACCATCTCAAAAGAAATGGTGGAATTAGTTCACCCCTTTCAGGAGGTTCTACTGGACGCGATGTGACTTGGGCCTTACATCTGAAGGGAAACATAAAATCAATTCTCTTGTTTCATTACCTTCTCAATACACACTTATTACCTTCTGAACATAAAAATTTATGCTTAAGTGTTGACAGCTGCTATTCAAGAAGAATCATAACAGCTAACTTTTTTTAATAGATTCTCCCTTGTATTAGAAAATTTACATATCTGATACTTATCTGAACTACATATCTGCTTGTGTAACTAAATTCTGTGAATTTGAGTTTGGAAAGGTTCAGCAGTAAAGCACGAATCAACCTTGAATTTTGGTCATCTCATATTTAGTTATAAATTCCCATCTAACCAAATTATTTAGTTTAGAGAGAGTATATTAAATACAAGACTTAAAACAATGCTGCAACCAAGTTTTACATACAGAAATATACATAAAATCAAAGTTCCATTTTCCACAGGCAGCATGTATTTGCTTCCTCATACATGTTCCCATTTTGCATTACTATGCTCTTAGCTCTGCTACTCAGACACATTCCCTCAGTATTGCAATTTGTAGCTGCTGGGGAAACCATAATAAAGCTTTGAGAATCCTTTAGAGCACAGGAAAACTCAACCATAAATTTTCATTATTTTTTCCTCAACTAATTTGTTTTTTGTTTCCAGGAACCTGACCAGGCAGCAGAGAATAACCAGGAAGAGAAGTGATGTACAATTAATTTGAGGGGCTGTGGTGATTTCAGCAGATACAAGCCTCCAGTGAGAGAGGATGAAGGCTAGAAGCTAATTGTATTATCCCCTGAATTCTGGTCTTCATTCCTTTCATTTGCCTCTTGATTCCTTAGCTATCCACAACACACGTAGCACACAAATAATTTATAGCTCTGCTTTCCATAGAACTTGAGAGGAACAGACACACAGTCTCTCCATATTGGAAGGAGACAGATGTGAAATCTGCTTTGGCAGACACAAGGCAAACCTATATTGTCCCTCCCTCTACCCTGCTTAGAGTTAATGCATCAGTTCAGGGCTTAATCTGTATTGACACTGATCTCTTGAATAAAAGAAGTGATGGATCTTCACCTGCTAAAAGGAATAACTTCCTTGAGACTCTAAACCCACTGTGAACATGCCACCAACAGCCCAGTGTGCAACAGCTTTGTTCAGCCAACCTCAGATCATCACAAAGCCTGAGCAAATTTCACAGGTCAGGGAACTTCCCAAACTCACTCAGATCATCCCACACTCGGGAGACAAAAAAAACTCCATCAACACACTGAGTCCATTTGCTATCCCAACACACGGCGAGCCACATCGAGCAGTGAGATGTTCGTAGATACCCAGGCAGAACAAAGGGCCTGCCCAGTACCTCCCAGTTCCACACCATTCACTGGGGGGAGCTTGGAGGAGGGCAGAGACATCCCTCTGTGCCACCAACACCCTTGTGTGAACAAAGGGAGGAACACTTTGCATGGGCAACTGGGGATATGGATCTATCAAGCAGAAAACAGTCTGCAGACTGGATGACTTCTGTGCCTCCTGTCCCAGCACTCTAGGGAAGAGCTCATTTCCAGCTTCACTGAAAATCACACACGTGAAGGGAAAGGGAAGCCTCTGAGGACAAAGCAAAGGAGGATACCAGGAAAACCAGGAAAAGAACTCACCTCACCTATGCTCCAGCCCAGTGCCCACATAACAAACTCTGAATACAAACTAAACAGGACACAGCTAATACTTGATAGCAGGAACTTTTAAGACAATAAAGACGTTAAGCTCAAAAAAAAGGATCAAAAAAACCAAAGAGTATTTAGATTAAATAATCACCATAATCCCCAAGACTAGATAATAAAATTTTAAACCATATTTAGATCACTTTCCTACCCAGGGGAGGATGAGGCCCCTCATTACCAGCTTTGTCTGAGATACTTCTGTACTTTCACTAATACTGATACAATTTAGTCCCTTCTCTTGCTCCAGCCTCTTGCTGCAGCTCTGGAACACACCCACCCCTCCTCTCTGCTCTCCGTCACCTCCAACAGAGATGCCCTCTCCCTGATTCCTGCTTTGCAACACAATTCTTTACAAGGTCTTCTGCAACAAAAAGCCTTCAACTATGCCACCACCGATGGTATTACGCGATCCTACTTCATACCCTGTCCCACTGCATCTCTTTTTCCTGATTTCTTTCTGTCTTTGACTACCCCTGTGGGATTCCTCTAGAAAGTCTCTTGCGGGATGCTCATCCTCTTTTTCTGTTGACATTTCACAGCCATTTAACATGGCTTTTTCTTCTTTATTTATTTGAAACAAAGAAAGTGCAACTCAACTCTGCCTCCTGAAGTACTTATCCCTGTACCCTTTAAATGGGCAGACACCCTCCCTTTTCCCTGAAACCATCCACAGCCCAAGCTCCTTTCTGGCTATCAATGCTAATTGCACCTATATCTTTGTCACCCAAACCCATAATCTGTGGATTATCCTCACCGGTCTCCTTGCACACGCAGCACACACCTCGCCTTTCCTTCTCCACTGAGTTTTTGGACAGGATTTTTTTTCATCCCAAGATGAAGAAACCAGAAGATCTCCCATCCTTTTCCAACAGCTGACTCTGCAGGGACCTCCTTGCAGCCATATCACACTCTCCTCTCGCTCTTCCAGTCTCGGTTCACACTATCACGACTGCCTTGTCCTTTCCACCTCATCTAATCCATTTCATCTCTGCCCTTTCTAACCTACCGCCGCTCTTAACCAGTAGTTTCACGCCCCTCTGTACCCCACAGCACTCCGGGTTCGGGCAGAGCGGTGCCCAGCCCAGGCAAATTACCTCGGCTCCCTTCTTTTGGAATGCGGGCGAGCCCAGACCCCGCGCTTGTCCCGCACCGCTGGAGCGCTGCAGGCTCCTGGGAGAGCAGCGCAGCAAACCCTGGCGGGAGCAGCGAAAGAGAGACAGCCCCGCACAGCTCGCACAGCCCCCGCACAGCCCCGGGGAGCCCGACAGCGCCGGGGCTGCGGTTCCTGCCGGGCGGAGCGCGGAGCTCAGCGCTGGGCCCGGAGCGGCGGCCGCGCTTCCCACCCGCTGGGCTCGGCCCCGGCGGGACCCCCGGCTCGGCCCGGCCCCGCACTTACCGGGCGGGCGGCGGAGCGGCCCCGGGGCTCCTCCTGCGCGCCGGAACCGCCGGCCCGGTGCGTCACCTCCGCCGGGCGGGGCGGAGCCGGGCCGGGCCACCGCGCGGGGCCGGGGGGGAGCGGCCGAACCACTGCGAGCGGGCGGGGGGAGCCGGCCCCGCGCCCCCGGGAGCGGCGCCAGCCCCCGGCGCGGGCTCTGCCGGCGGCAGCGCCCGGTGACCGCGCCCCGGGGACAGCGCCCCGGGGACAGCGCCCGGGGAGCGACCCTTCGTAGCGCTGCGGGCCCGCCCGCCCCGCGCCCGCCTCCCGGCGTGCCCCGCACTGGGGTAAAGGTCGAGGCGCCCAGGGGGCGGCACTGGCTCGGCGGCGACGCAGCGCCCCGGTCCCAGTCCCGGTCCCGGTCCCGGCCGCGCTCCTCACCCGGTCCCGTGTCCTCGCCCACCGCCACCATGGCGGAGCAGCCGCAGCCCATCAGCCCCCTGAAGAACTTCTTCGCCGGCGGCTTCGGGGGCGTCTGCCTGGTGTTCGTGGGGCATCCACTGGACACCATCAAGGTGAGGCGGCGCGGGGCCGGGGGCGGGCGGCGCTCGGTGCTGTGCGGGGCGGCCGCGGGTGGACTACAGCTCCCGGCAGGCACCGCGCGGGAGCGGAGCGGGGGGCTGCAGTGGGACTACAGCTCCCGGCAGCCACCGCGGGGGCTGCACTTCCGGTGCGCGGCGCGGGGAGGAGGGGCGGGATGCTCCTATCGCGGTTGGGCGCCCTCTGGCGGTGCGGAGGCCTTGGGGGGTCCCATTCAGTCCCATTCAGTTCCCTCAAGTTTATAGTGAAAAATCGGGAAAAGGGCGTGTTCCCGCCGCTGGAAGGGATTGGGAGCGGGGATGCTCCCGCCCGCACCGTGCTGCGCCGGAGCCCAGCCCCCCTGGGCCAGGGGGAGGCCAGGAGTGACCCTGTCAGGGCACAACTCAGGGTCCAGAAGGAGCTGGGTTTGTCATCCTGACGTCATCCCAATAATTAACCAGTTCAATACATTAACTATTCAATACGTTAAAATTCAATCTCTTCTCTTTTGCAAAGGGCTAAAACGATGTCAGTCTCTCTGTTGATACCTTCAAGGCCAGTCACAAAACATACTCCATAATAGCCAGAGGTGTTCTCTGAATCAAAGTTTAAGCAGTAATATTTAATAAAATAATGTTTTCCTCTCCTCTCACTAGGTCAGACTGCAAACCCAGCCTAAGCCACAGCCTGGCCAACCCCCACTTTATTCTGGGACCTTTGACTGCTTCAGAAAGACTCTTGTTGGAGAGGTACTGTGACACCTGCCAAAAACATCAGTTGTTCCTGTATGTCTCAGAAATGGAGTTGTGTGGGAATGTTGCCCTCCACAGACCGTACAATTCTTGGGTTATTGGTTGAATTAATTCTAATTAAAACTCTTTAAGCGGATTACAAAACATAGGGAGTTCTTAGCATCCACACGGCCCAGGTGCACATCTCAATGTTCTGCTAAAAAATGTTTTTGATTCAAAATAGCACGATATTAAAATCTGAGGGTATAGGCTGGAGTGAATGTTGCAAGTTGTTTTTTGGCCTTACTGTGTTTGGTGAAGACTTGCTGTCTTCGTTATTTGGAGCCGTCTCTGAAAACCCTGAAATAGGTAATGACTTTTGTTTGTACAAGTAGTACTTTGACTTTCTTCTATAAAGTGGTATGCCATCTATAAGAAGGCAGAGGATCATTAATAGATTTTTTCTCTTTTTCTTTTTTTGAAAACAGAGGATCAAGTAAAGTTGTGTTAATCTTCTTCAGAAGGTGGACAGTGGTTTTCACTCCATTTATATTATGTGACTGAACTAGTCTGTTTTGTTTTTAGAAAGGCACACACAGCCTCGATTGAAAGTTTTTAAGTGACACAGAGCCCACTTTTTGGTTTTGTAAGTTTTCCTTGCAGCTATTTACCTGTTGGTAGCTACTTGGAAACAATGGCTGTGCCTGAAGTCTAATTTCTAACTTCTGGATCTTGTTAGGTAACTCGCTGTTTTATGAAAGATCTGCCTCATATCTGAAATCTACTTTCATTGTGGTATTAACAGGTTGTTATATAACCAAAGTAAATCTCGCTTCCCTGGTCTCTCCCACAAAGGACTGGAATGCTGTGCCAGCTCTGAATCCCTGGCAGTTTTTAACACCCCTGCTGCAGCACAGACGTCAGAGCTGAGCCATAATAATAGCCTTGTGATGGGAAGTTCAAAAGCAGTGCTGCTTCTCCACTCCTACTCAATACTCATCCGTTTCTATAATGAAAATTATTAAACCTCTCTGCCATGGCCTTTTCCTTCCCACTGCTCATGGGGAGGCTGGGCAGCAGTGGCTCATCTCTGTCAGCCAGGTGCAATTTCATTGCAGAGCCAGTTGTGCCTGTACACACTCAGCACGTACTGGGATGCACTGGTTTATTGGGGCAGTGGGAAGAAAGGGGTGCACAGACCAGCAAATATTTCATTTGGTCATCTTGCCTTTATCTGGGAAGATAACTCTTACTTTTTATTAGAAAAAGTTCAGTTCAAAGGCAAGAGAAATTAAATGAATGCAACTACTGGGGTCTGCATTAGAATTTTTTCCTATGTGTAGTCTTAGAAGGGGAACATCAGGAATGTGTAAAACATCAGAAATATAATGTGTGGTGAAAAACTTTTGGTTTAGGGTAGGAAGGAAAAAGTAATTTGCTCTTGAACCCATTCCAAACTGAATTCATGTGGGGCATGAAGGAATTCAGGCTGCTCTCCCTTGAGTTAAAGAGTGAATTCGACATCTTTGGGTTCACTATCAGGATTTAACAACTCACCAATAAAACAGAAGTGTATTTCTGTATGTAGCTGAGAGACAGAGTGTTCTCTCTTGACATAATCTATTAAGACTTTTATTCAGGTGGCTTTTAACTTCACTTCCTCATACCTGAGATGTACGTACAGGGTGACGGGTGTTGCCATAGAAGGGCATCAATGGTGCCAGTGTTTCCCAGGAAAGATCATTTCCCTCTGCAGCAGGCCCTGAGCCTCAGCTAAACTTGTATAACTGCAAATAAACAATAGACACCATTATCCCTCTGATCAATTTGACTGATTCTCTCCTGGATTGTTGCCTTCCGCTTCTCAACAAGTTGAACTGAGCGCAAAGTTTATGCAAAACCAAGTGATTCTTGTGATAATGTTTCTTGCAGGGAATCCGAGGCTTATACAGAGGAATGGCAGCTCCTATTGTCGGAGTGACACCCATGTTCGCTGTGTGCTTCTTTGGATTTGGCTTGGGAAAAAGGCTCCAACAGAGAAAACCGGATGACGTTTTGACGTGAGTTCCTGGGTTAATCAGGCACTTGGGAAAGGCATCCTGAGGCTGTGGCTGTGCTGTCGCACGTTGAGTTGTGGTGTAAATTTGTCTCCCCTCCTAGGGTATAAATATAGTTCTAGAAAATAAAACACTCATGTTTTAATGCTTCTGTAAGCGTGGGATTGATTGCACAGGCTAAAAACAGACAGTGTGTGGGCAGGTGCGATGCAATTCCCTTTCTACGCAAGAAAGAGCCATTAAGGAACAATTCTGTTTTAGATGAGTAAAGTGAGAGTTATATAATTATTGCCTGCCAACAGTCTTGCTATTAACAGAAACTATGGGAGAAATAACTTAATGGTCAAGCAGTCTTGACAACGTTCACGGCCCTGATTCTCTTTTCCCTGTTGGTTGTGACTCTTGCTGTGTCCCTGCATTAGGATATAAGAACAGCCATAGAAAGGTTTTACTATTATTTCTGAAAAGAGGTGTTTGTGAGCAGTCCTCCTCTCGGGCACGTCTAACCTTCTGGAAAAGCAAAGGAAGTTGAGAAAACTTCTTGTGGCTTTCTACAAACCAACTTGGGCATGAAGAAAACCCCCTCACCCAAGAAATACTCCTGTAATGTCTTGCCAAGCTGTGATTTACAGCTCTACAGGAACTGGACTGTAGCTTAGCAACATTCTATTCCATTATTTGTGTGCTAGGTAGGAGCCCTGTCAGAAAGCAGGAGTCCATTGTGTGGAGCCAGGCGAGGTGGGGTGGGCAGGGGTGGTTTGGTTTCTGTTGGAGCTTTGCCTGCAGAGGAGCTGCCCAGGTGGTGTGAGCACACTTGGCTCAAGCCAACACGGAGCAAGTTCTGGATGGCTGGAGGGAGGCAGTGCTGAGGTGCTGGGGCACTGCTCACTTACCCTCTGTTTTACCACAGTGGTGTCCTCATGCAGGAGAGGCTGAAGGGTAAGGCCAGGGAGACAGTCAGGAGTGGGCAATACAAGGAAACAAATGGGCCGTGGGCTGATTTCCAGCAGCCTGATCACCTCAGTGCCTTGTGTTTTATACACACGATACCAAAGGCAAGTTTTAAGGAGCAAGCTGGGGAAGGGCAGCATAGTTTTTTGAGTCTTTATGTAGAATTCCTCTGAAGAAGAGCAGTGGGAGAGAAGAATAAATAGAGGGTGGAACTGTCATTGTGCCCAACTGTGCTGCACTGTGGGTGCAGGCTTGACACAGTGAAGGAACAGTGAGCTTGGGACACGAGACCCAAAAGTAAAGGTCAGACCCTTAGTGCTGTGGTTACGGCTCTAGAGGCAGGCAGGACGGTCATGGTTCCCCCATGCTGATTTTAAAAGGAAGTTGGGGAAGGAGGAAGGAGAGGACAGGCTCGTCAGGTTTCCATCTTTTCTGGGGCTGAATAATTCCAAGGTGAGATAGAAAACTGAATGGTCTGGAGGATCTAATGAGAATTTAAGAGTCTTTACACTTAAATGAGTAAGAATTGGAATGGAATGCCATCTCTTGGGCAAGTGGAGAGATGCGGGAGGTGTGGAATTCAGTTACAATGAGATATTAGATCATCTTATGAGGGGAGGTAGCAGGAGGTCGGATGTAAAAATAATTTTGTGATGGAGAAACAGCCTGTTTAAGGGATTCTTACCATGGAGACTGCCACATGAAAGCAGGTGCAGAATGTGTGGGATAATGGCAGGTTGGTAGGACAGACTCGACAATGGCAGAGGCTGAAGGAGTGAGGGAGTGAGAACTTACAGAAAGGAGACTCCTGGCTGCACAAGCAGGAATATGTGTGGAATCTGAGATCACTGAGAAGAGTATGGGAGACTGGAGGAGAAAGAGACTGTTGGGAATAAAAATGAATGGGGAATGCTGTAGCAAAAAATGCAAGTAGAAGGAATATTAGCACATACCATGAAAGAGCTGAGTTGTGGTTGCTGTGGGAACTAGCACTTTGAATCCTAGAGATCTTAAATGTTTAGCTCTAATTATGCATTGATGAGGCACTTCTGCACTGATCAAAAGCAGTGGATGTGTTTCAACTTCCACTGCCGAGTTCAGGTGGAACAGCATAATCTGATGATGCAGGGCTTTTTCCACCCTTCGTTTCCTGTGTACTGTGTTGTGTTAGGGTCTCTTCTGTTTCCTCGAGGCAGATATCCTCAGCTGTTTGCTGCTGGCATGTTGTCAGGAGTGTTCACAACAGTAATCATGGCTCCAGGAGAGAGAATCAAGTGCCTTTTACAGGTAAGGTGTTGAATGGTGGTGATGTGAATTTAATTTTAGGAGTCTTGTCTTTCCATAACAGGAATTTCTTTGGTTAGTGCATTTACTCTGTTCTGGTTTTTGGCAGGACTGAGACAACTGTCATGTAATGCATCTGTGTCGCGAAGAAGCATTAAACGAAGTCACTGTGACAGTATAACTACACATTCATTGCTCTGTTCATTTTACAGAGCGCAAACCTTATGCTATGGGGCATTTTATGAGGCATCGGTGGATGCCTCAGTCCACTGCAAAGTATGGAAAAGTCCCATTTTTCTGAATGAAACTTCTTCAAAAAAAAGCTCAAACTTTCTAGATCATGAGCCTCTTTGTGGTGTAAAGATTTTCTGTTACTTTGACAGCTCCCAATACATAACTAAGGAGTGCATTTCAAGACAGCATTCTGACATTTGGGTGGCTGTTAGCTCCTCACCTCCTCCAGGGTTTTTAAAGTATTGTTGGAAAACATAAACCTGAACAAATGAAATGCCATCTTTAGCAGATGTGGAAAGCTTTGCTTGTTTCAGACTATGCTGAACTCTGTTAATATGGTGATGGGTGGTCACATGTTAGTTCTGACAGCCAGGATATTATCACGGAAGCTTTAACGCACATACAAATTGTTTGAATTTCCCTGAACTATCTGAAGAGTAACTTTTTGTCAGCATAGAATTGCCTAACTGCTTCAAATTTACACTGCAGAAAAATAAGGGGGAATCTGTTCTCTACATGGAACAGTAAACACATCCTCAGCTTGAATGTGAGAATGCTGATTGAGGAAGTGAGGCAGAGGTTTCATAGGCAGGAGTGCCTGTGGAACAAGTATGTGCTCCTCCCTCGCTGGAAACATGCATGTGGCTTTCTAACTTTTAGGTGGATGATTGTGCATCAACCAGAAACCTTCACTAGTCAGAAACTATCACTTTAATCCTTCAGATCCAGGCAGCTACAGGTGAAACTAAGTACAAGGGCTCTCTGGACTGTGCCAAGCAGCTGTACCGCGAGGCTGGGATTCGTGGGGTGTACAAGGGGACGGTGCTCACCCTCATGAGAGGTAAAAGACAGAGCTGTTCAGATCCTTTCTGGGGGGGGGACACTGTAGGACAAGAAGTCTGACACAGTATGGTAGATCTCGCTGTCCCTTTAGCCAGTTGGAGGGTCTATGTCACCCCTCTTTTCTTTTTTTTTTTTTTTTTCAGTCTGCAGAGCTACTCCAATGCCTCAAAGGGCCTGAGAAATAAACATGAGATTCTCAGTGAGTGAGGAAGAGATTAGATGACAAGGATCAGAGGGATATAGGAAGTAATTAAGATCTGAGAATGCAAGAGGAATGAGAGACTTCAGGAGAGGAGCAGAGAGAACAAAGAGAAGAGAAAAACACAAAAGTGGGCTTTTTTAATTTTCTTCTTTTTTTTTTTCTTTTCTCCTTGAGAGAAGGATTGTGCCTGTCTGTGACTGTTGCTATATAATGCTGGCTGCTTTAAAAGATGTGATGGCAGCAGTTATGCTTTCTGCCCGCTTGAGTCTGGGTTATTTTGGACTGGGATGTCATGACCCTTCTCTCGAATACAACAACAACAACAAAGTAATTGTGCCAGACCTTGAATCCTTTATGTATTTCAGTAATTCCTCCTTTGAATAGCTGAAATTTCTGTATTTTGTTAACTTAGTTTAGGAATTTGTTCTATCCTCTGCTTCTCACAGACGTGTAGCAGCCTGAAATGTAACTCTGGGTGTGTCCCTATCAGCCAAAGGCTGGTTCTCCAGTTTAGGCATGAGCTGCGGGAGTAACTTAAAAAAACCCAAAACAAAATCCATCAACTGCAAAAAAAAAATCCTAAAATAGAACCATTAGAACTAATAGTGTGCAAAACTCTTGAAAACTCCGATGTACTGTGCAGTAATTAGGACAGTTTAGAGCTGTTTCATCATTAGTCAGACAACCATCAGACAGGTTACAGCCTGGTTTGAAAGGCTGCTGACATAAAAGATGTCTTCCCAGTTCTTGCCTTGAGCACCTGCTCTCCCTGGGAAAGTTCAGACTCCTCTCTCTAGGGCAGCAGAAGATTTTATTTTGTTTGCAGAAGAGGTTCAGAAAAGGAATCTGGATGTACTTAGTGGTGTTGCTGGGCTGGCATGGGGCTGCTGTGCCTCCGGGCTTCGTTTGGTTTCCCACTCCTCACAGCCTTTGTTGTTTACCCACCAGACGTCCCGGCCAGTGGAATGTACTTCATGACGTACGAGTGGCTGAAGAACATTCTGACCCCTGAGGGAAAGAGGTCAGTGAAATCTCACAGTCATCACTTTCTGGACTTCCCAGGCTCTGCTGATTAATCTCCCCAGTTATGAAGAGACTTAGAGCAGTATCATCAAAACAAATTAAAAAAAAAAAATTGCTTGTTTTCTGAGTGGAGCTGCTTTGGTCTGGGGTTAACTGACAATTAAAATAATATTCTGAGTTCTCTCAGATTGTAGTTTGGATCTTATTGGCCAAGTAAGAAATACTCAAACTAGGTCTTCTTCCTGTCAATCCTGTCTGTGCAAACAGTGCTGGGGAGCTTTCTTGGATTTTGGGGGGGGGGGTTTCTTTGTTTGTTTGGTTTTGGGATTTTTTTTTTTTCCCATCAGCGTGTGTGCTGAATGAAAAGATTTGAACCTTTAGGGTGGAGTTGGTTCATTTTGCCCACAGGACTCTAATTGTTAGAAATGTTGCTCAGATACTGCACTCCGTCTCTGCAGCATTGTGCTGCCTTCTGGCTGTCAGCCAGGCTGCCTTTTTGATTGTCACCTTAGTCAAAACACATGAGTTTGACTTTTTTCCCCTTACCATTTTTTAAATTTTTTTTTTTTTCACTTTTCCCTCCCATCCCACCCCTATCCTGCCACAGTGTGAGTGACCTCAGTGTGCCGAGGATCCTCTTTGCTGGGGGCCTGGCTGGCATCTTCAACTGGGCTGTTGCCATTCCACCAGACGTGCTGAAATCCCGTTTCCAGACTGGTAAGTTCCATGCCAGCATGTCACGGCCACAGTTAGTGTGGTGCTCCAGGGAATGGAGGGCAGTGATAGAAGAGTCCGTCCAGGAAGCAGCATCTCTCAAGCGCTGCTTGAGACAAGTGCATGAAAAACCCAAGTGTGTTCCCAGCTTTTTAGTTGGCTTTCTCATAAATTTTTTGCAAATCAGGCTTCACTTCTCTGTTTCTGACTTCCTGATATATAATGATCCTGGTGTGAGGTACCTATATCTGTAGCCTGTGCTATCTGCAGCTTGTAGTAACAGGGTGTGGTTTGTTGCGAACGTTGTTTTTGGACTGGCAGCTCTACTCATTCATGTCTGTGTCCTAATTACAGTGAGGATGGCCCCAGGCCTTGCACTTCAGCAAGGTTTGACAGATTTTTCATTGATTTCTCTGGGAGTCCTGTCAATGAATAGTTTTGTTAAGGCTCCCCATAGTCTCTGTGGGCTCAGCTCTCCCCTGGACAGTGACCATTTCTACTGAGTCACAAATCATAATAATCTAGTGCAAGGAAACTTAATTTCTTCTCTGAGCAATGGCTGCTGTGCTGGTCTGGTACTGCACCAAGAGCTGAAACACATCCCAGCATTGATCCTTGTTCCACTGAGCCAGTCCCCAGTGCTACTGTGTGGATGATGTGGGTTCCGTTTAACTGGGTTGGTTTGTGGAGTACCTGTTCAGAGGGCTGGCAAAGGCAGCACTTCCCAGAGCGGTGCCAGGAGAAGGAAGAAATTGTTCTTTGAGCAGAGTAATTTTTTAAAAACACCTCAGCAAATCTGTGTAACGTCAGCATTAAAACAGCCTGTGCTTTTCACTTGAAGTCTGTTGCTGTCCTTGGCTGGGACGTAATAGGATAATTTTCTGTTTCTTATAAACCAGCTTCATCAGTTTTTATATCTGATGTTCCTATCACCTCACTGCAGCTCTTGGAAGAGCTGTGATCAGCAGTGCAAGTAACAGCTCAGACTTCCAACCCTGAGAAAAGTTATTCCCCTTTCTTTCCTCCCCCAATAACTTGATGATGTAAATTCTTTGGTAAGGGTAAGCACCTATCTTCTGTTCACTGAGCCTTTACTGAGCTGTCTGGTTTGTTTGTTTGCTGTAACAGTATGAACCTGTTGAAAATCCTGGGCTGTTACACAGGGCACATCCTTCAGCCCTTGTGACTGCCTCACATCTCGGCTAATGTGTTGTGTATCCCTTTCAGCTCCTGAAGGAAAATACCCAAATGGCTTTAGAGATGTGCTGAGGGAACTTATCAGAGAGGAAGGAGTTGCATCTCTGTATAAGGGCTTCACAGCTGTGATGATCAGGGCATTTCCCGCTAACGCGGTGAGTACATTGTGGTTCTGGGTGGGTTTTGGGGACTCGGCCACTCACAGTGAATGTTTGCAGCCTGTAAAGGACACGACTGGCTGCTTACTCTTGTATCATTTCAGTGAGTACTTTTGGCTGTTGGTGTCCAAGTTCTAAAAATGTACTTTAGTCTAGGAGGAACAACAAGTAAACCTTTCTCTAAAGCTTTACGTGAAACCCTTTGTTGACTTTGTCTGACAGTTTGCTGATTTTACATCCACCTGTAGAAAATGCAGTAAGTTTGGACTGGCTTCCCCTTCAGTAAATAATGAGCCTACTGGAGTCAAAGTTCTGCCTTTGTGTAGAGGGATATAGTAGAATTCTTACCTCTGGTCCAAGATGTTTTTTTGCCCTCTTCCTCCTTCTGTATCAGCCACATCAGGTGTTCATAGTGCTGCATTTCAAAAATCTTGTTTGGAATGGATTTTAAGAATCCTTATTTGTTCTGTTCTCTTTTCCAGGCGTGTTTCCTTGGTTTTGAAGTCGCTATGAAATTTCTTAACTGGATTGCACCCGGTCTATGAATTTGGAAGTCTAGAAATGAGAGAGGAGAAGGAAGAGAGTGCAAGTCTGCCTCAAAGGAATAAATGAATTATCACTTAACATTTCAGGAATGATTGTTTGCCTAATACCTTTTTGCCTTCCTCACATTCTTTAGGTGGTGCTATGTGCCATTCAGAAATGCAAGCTGTAGCTCTGAAACAGAGTTGGTGAGGAGTTAGATGTGATGGACCTTCTGAGCCAGCCTACCATGGCAGTAACACTGACAACAGACAGCTGTCACTGTCACACACACTACCTTAAGTACTTCCTCATGGAAGGAGGGGACACATCTTAAAATGTAATTCTTTATTTACTGAAGAAAAATGTAGCTATTAATGCTGAAAAACTTCCTTAAAATAATTGTTTGGCAGCAGGTACTTAATTCTCAGGGCATAAGTCAGCAGCTGCACATACTGGTGTCTGCAAGCAATGTCAGCCAGTGTTCTCATCTCCTGTAGTTTTTCAGTTGTGTCTGTTTCTCTGTTGACAGTGGTTTTAATCTTCTGTGCATGTACAGCAGCAAACACAGAACTCAGCAGGGGAGGCCAGAGCTATGTTTCAGTGGGTTGGGGGGTGTTGCAGGTACCATATCAGGTCTTGCACACTGATCTTTTCTGTGGAACTAGGACACAAAATGCATCATGCTTAACATTTGTACTAAGCTTTACTGAGGCAGCCAGTGAGGAAATGTGTTTGATTAACCTGAACTTTTCTCTGAAATCCCTTTATGTCCCACTGAAGATAGCCCAAATGGGATTTCAAAAGTACAGCAAGGTTCATAGTGACCCATGATATATTTGATTAATCAAATACTGTATCCTGGGATTCAGTCCTTTACAATGACCTGAGAAAATTTAACAGCACTTCCAAGAACTGAATTTCTGTGACTCAAGGGAGACACATGAAGGGGTTGCTGGCGCTGCAGTCTTGTGTAACTTTATTCTTTCTGCTATTCCTTGTTTTTCTCTTAATATTATTAAACATAATCACATTTTCATTTGAGAAATGACTAATAACTAAGAAGCAAAAAACAACTTTTAATTTCTTTTGTTTGGGATGCAGTGTTATTGTAACTCAATAAAGCTAGCTGCTGCTTGGCTAGAATGTGTGCTTTGGTTCATTTACTTTTTGCATGGTCATGCATGCTTAGTTTTGCAAAAGTTTTCCAATTCTTAATTCTGGGATGTAGTTGGGAAATAAGTTGTGCCGTGCTGACTTTGATTGTTAACCCCTTGCCTTTTAGCTTTTGGGTTTCTAACATGAGCCCTGGAAAGAAATGTTATGCACTTGGGATGTTTGTCATGGATGCGAGTTTTTAACCATAAAGCGAGACAATAACACAGCTTGGAGCAAATAACACACTTTATGGGAAGTACTTGGCATGCTCTGTTGGCCTGTACCACGAGGACACCGTTTTCACTTCGGCTTTCCACAGGCAAGGTCAGGCCTGAAAACTCCCCACCCAGATCTGCTGAGAAACCTTGAATGCTGCTTTCATTCCCAGTTATTTGGAAGGACCAGAAGGGAACCCGCCTTCCCCAGAGTCCACATCTCATGTTTTACAGGGTGGGTGGGGGGTGTGAAATGAATGGGATGACCCCTGGTGTGGGAAAATCTCAGACACTTGGAACTGTCTCCACATTCTTGCTGCTGCCATACCCAGCACGGCCCTTCCCCATTCCTCACTGCTCAGGAGTTCAGGAGTGGCTGCTGCTCCTCCTCAGAGTCATTGCAGCTATGGATGAATGAAATACTTAAAGCGTGAACACTGAGTTAATGCTGGTTTGGAGAAGTAATGATTAAAGGGCATGAACCTCTTAAATGGTTTTAATTACAGTTTGGGGTTTACTGAAACTAAATCCAAGCTAGTTTCAAATGGATCAGGTCTGCTTTAATGGCTCTGTGCTACCTCACCACCAAACATTACCCTATAGTGCTCTGAGGGCTGCTTTGGCCCCTTACTGATGGTGGGGCTGTGGTACCTAGAAGCAATTTTCATCTTTAAGAAGTGTTATAAAGCTGGATTTTTTCCCTTTCATTTTACTTACATGTTTCTGAAATACTGACACGTCGGAGGACAGATGTGCCTCTTCTTTCTTGCAATTCCAAACACTGATGCTTTAAGCTGCCCATTCCAGTTGCCCTGTCAAAGGCATCCTGATCTCCTAACCTCCCTTGGAGCTGGGAAGAGCTGAGGCAGAATCCTGGTTGTAAACGCTGCTCTGGGCTGGTTCCTGAGGCAGGTGCCCAGCAGGTGGCTGTGGGGAGCTGCCAGGGGGATGGACAGTCCAGCAGGTCCAAAGGCAAGGTCAGAGGTTAGGAAGCCAGCCCAGCAGCTGCTGCTGACAGACCACTGGGTCACTTGAGCCACTTGCAGCTTTCCAAGTTGGGCTGCAAAGGTTTCACATCTCTTTCATGACAGACAGGCAGCTGGAAGGCAGGGCTGAGGAGGGCTGTGATTCCCCAGGCCTGGTGATGAGCTGTGTGCTGTGGTTAGTGCTCCCTCCCAAGTCAGTCCTATCAGTCTGGAGTGCTGCAGACCGTAAAAAACATATAATTCTTGAAGACCAAATCAGGGACTAATAATGCCTTGGATTCAGCTGCTGCCTCTTGCTTGGTGCCCATCACTTACCTTGGCTCTGCTGTCACCAGCTGAGCCTCGCTGGTCATGGCCTTAAGCAGTACTTGCTCGGAAGATTGAAATATTCCCCACGCTCACTAACACTTCAGTTGTTACTAGTAACTATAAACTCTCTTCCTTCTTCCAAACTATCCCTCCAAATATTTATTTTTTTTTAAACATTTCAGTTCCTTTTCCCAATTTGACTTATCCTAATTACACTCTTCCCCACTCCAAGGTTTTTGCAGAGCTTTGTGTTTTGCATGATAACATTCTGTTGTTTAACGTGCTTGATTTCACTTGGTGCTTTTAGCTAAGTAAAATATGGCAGGAGACAATCAGGGATGAGGGGATGCTTTCCAACAGCTGTGGCAGGAGAAGAAGAGCTTTGCAAAGGCTCATCAGACAAATTTGCTTGCTTGTTCAAAAACTGAAGCCAAGGCACCCTGGAAATGTTTAAAGATCTGCTTAGGTCTTTAAAGATTCTGCCATATAAAATTTGCCATTTCTTTGCCCCTGCCGTTTCTGTGTTCATCCTCAGAAAAAGAGGTGCAGTTTCCTGGACCCTGAGGATTCCTTTGCTTTCAGAAGCCCAGATTTGCATTCAAATGTTATTTTCTAATTGTCCAGGTTGTTGTGGGAATTCAGGCAGTGGATTTGCAGTTTAGGGGCACACAGTAAGAGCTGATACACTGGGTACCAGCAAAGGATACCAATGATATTTGCTTTTATGCTGCTTGGGCTCATAGCATCTGGTTCTGCTATATCAAAATCAATGTAGAGTTCTACAAGACTTTTGTGCTGTACATCTCTCCCTGGCCCGTTCTGTTTTGATGCAAGTGATTTTTTCAGTGGTGATTTAAGGTGCCTGGAAGTATTCCAGAGGTAATTAATAACAGGTAAACCTTCTGTGCTTGCATTTCTCTACCCATTGCGTGCAAGTGGCTTTTGTGCATACTCAGCATTGATATAGTGACAGAAAGGTCCTTGGAGTACCCCTGCAAGTCAGTCTTGATCAAATTTGGCTAATTAAAGGCAGCTGCCTGTGGGAGGCACACACAGTACAGAGTCTCCAGTTTGGAAAGGACATTGCAAAGTATATCTTACAAATGGTGAGTAATGTGAAGAGGTGCATTTACTCATATTTCTCACAGGACAAGACATACAATGTGTCCAGTGAGGACATCAAGCAATATTTAAAATAAAAGTACTTTTTATATCTTGTGTACAATTAAGCTATATAGGTCGTTGCAAATGAATGCAAAAAAAAAAGTATTATGGAAGAACAGTTTAAGAATTACTGAAAACTGATAGGGCTGCAAAGCCTTGGCATAAGATGTTCCTGAATTGCTGGTTGATGGGAGCTGGGAGAGTATACTATGAGAGGCATAAAGATTATTTTATTTCTTGTGTTCTTTCTGTAAGCATCTGATGCTGGACACTGTAGGATGGAGGAGTAGACAGACCTCCAGTCTGATCTTTGACAGTTTGACTGATGTTCTTCTTATGAAATGATGAGCAAACCCTGACTAATTCTGTGGGGTCTGCACAGAGGAGGATGGGCTTCACCCTGTGCCTTCCCAGTAACAATGTACCCTAAGACACAGCACCATTTATAGCTTTGCATGTGCCCTATTGGCCTCTAATGGTTCAGTTTTCCACTTTACATTGTTCCTACTATCTGCTGCCTCTTAGGTAAGAGGACTCCTATGTCAATAGCCTGTTTGTGCAGGTGAGAGACCAGTTTTGTCCCAGAAGTGGACTCAGCACTCCAGGTGTGCCCTCCCAGTGCTGAGTGCAGGGAAGGACCATCTCCCCTGCCTGCTGGCAATGCTCTTCCTAAAGCAGCCCAGCAGGCTGGTGGCCTTCTCTGCCACAAGGGCATGTTCATGGCCCACGTTCCTCTTGACATCCTGCCTCCAACCATAACGTGTGACCCCACTGATGGCTTGTACAGGCCATGGACTAAAACGCCTGCTGAGTCAGTGGCTCGGAGCCACCTACGCTGTGGCACTGTGCTGGTGTCATCGGGTGTGCTCTGCACCGAAGGGCTTCGACAGCGCTGCCCAACTGTCCTGGTTGAAAATAGATCCTCCTGCCCTGACAGCTGTGCCCTGGGGACTTTTCCTCCTGACCCAGAGGATGGCAGGGAGATGCCTGCCTTGCATCCAGGGGCTTCCCATGAGGGTGGATGCAGGAATTGCTGGGATTCCTGCCTCTTCTCTGCTCGCAGGGATGCCTTTTGAGTGATTGGATCATGGGTGGCCGTGCTCACTCACAACATCAGGCTCATTGCCTGCTCTGTGGCCCCAGGCGTGGCTCTGTCTGACCCCATTTTACACCACACTTTGTCTTTTTGCCCAGCAGACCCTGCCCTGAGAAAGCTGCCCAGTGAAGGGGAGGAATGGGCTGCCTGATGCTGGGTGCTTGAAATGGAAAACTGTTTCTAATTTAGGGAGATTTGTGTATAAAACTGAGGACATTTTCCATTACCTCAATCTGTTAGAATAGTTCTGCAAGTGTATCTCAAACCTGGTAAAAATGTAAACATTAAGTGGACATTGGACAGGATTTTTGCTGACATCTGTCTCTGAATTCAGACCCTTTAGTTGAAGCTCAGACAGTTCAGTTTAAGCAGTTTCTGATGCACAGGTTCTCCCTAGGCATACTAGAAGCCTGGCCATGAAGATCAGTATCAAAATTACAGCAATAGACCATGTATAAGCTTCACTTCCCTTTGCAGGTGACAGTTTGAGTGTCGACTTGCTGAAGGACACGACACTGTTGCTACCCTTGGCACAGAGAGTGGAAGCCTGGGATGTTTATCCGTGCAATGAGCTGCCTTCTCTTCTTCACTGGAGACCTGAGCTTGGGCTTCTCCCCCAGCGCTGCTGCTGCTCTGGGTCTGAGAGAAGTTGCACACAAGCTCTGGATACCAAAGCAAATGTTGAGCTGCCTGGGTATGGATTTCCCAAAGCTGAAAGCGTATCCCAGCGGCAACATTTCTCCTTGGTACTATTTCCTAATACTGTTTCCTAATAATTATTTATTACTGTCAGCTGCTGGCTCCTTCCTCTCACCACTCACGCCTTCAAAAAATTCTGAATTGCGATTTAGCCTTGAACGTTAGTCCCGGCAGACCAAAGGAAAGGAAACCAATTCTCTGTCCCTTCACATCTTTAATCCCTATGCAGATTTCAGCAGAACCAGCTGAAATGCTGAAAAGGTGTAAAATTACAGCGAGTCCTCCGGGGGCTAAGCCCATGTGATTCAGGAAAGCTCCTGACTGCCTGCATAGACAAATCCTAAAAAAATACTTCCCTCTGAAACATAATCCTCCCGCTCATCCCCCACCCCTCCCTGCCCGCTCACCCTTGACTCCCTATCACTCACTGCCAGGCAATTATTTGCTTCGTTTACTGCCTCCTGGCCGGAGCCAAAGTTCAGGATCTGGCAGTCGATGGCAGGAGATCACTCGGTGGAGGGAACTCTCTGTTCTCCCGGCCCGACCACCCATTTCCCATCAGAGCAGGCGTGCTCAGCTGCAAGGCACGGCCAGCTCCTGCAGTGTGGGTGAACTCTGGCTCCTGCAGCAGAGCTGCTCCTGGAAAGGAGCCCGGAGCTGCAGTGGGCAGGAGGCCGGAGCAGGGGCTCCTGCTCTGCCAGCACCCCGGGAAATGGGCCGGCATCTACCACTGCTGGGATGGGGAATGTGCAGAGAGCCCTGGGTACCTTCCTGATCTCTGTCCTTCCCCACAGCCCCGTTGTCACCAGGTGGAGGAAGCTGGGCTTTCCCAGATCCCACCCCAACCTCCACCTCCCCCCGCCTCTATGCAGGAAAACCTCCATCAGGTTTGTTAAGTTCCGTTTCCCCTGGGCTGGGGTGGATCTGTGTCTGCCAGGGGATCATGGATGAGGCACAGTGACGTGTGAAATGTCTGTCTCTCCTGAGATGAGCAATTCCTTGAGATGTCAATGAGTTCTCTTATGATAAATTGTTGGGGTTTTCCCCATTTTCTTCCCTATGGGTCCAGCTCAGGGGATGAAGCACTCACACATCATTTTCCCTAAAAGCACAGATTGCTGCTGGCATTTCTCTCGTTAATAATCACAGTGTGCAGCTGTCCTGCTCACCAGTGCAGGCACGTCCAGAGATGCCAGAGCTGCCTGCTGGTTCAGGAGACCAGCCCTTCCCTTCCCAAAGATTGGTCTGTGCTGACCTCTCCCTCTGCTTCATCCCATGCTCCCATTCCGGGTCCAGGGGCGGGTGGAGAAGGTCTACAGGGAAATGTCCCAAAGAGAACCGGATTGTGAAGCACGACTCCTCTGCCTCACTCCCTGCACAACTAGAATTTATTACAGCTAAGGTTACTCTCTCTGGCAGAGATAAAAGCAGGTTGTGTCTCCGGGAATGGCCACTGGGCCTCAGACCAAGGGTCTCTCAGCCCAGAGCTCTGCCCCCAGTGAGGGGAACAGGGGGCACAAAGCACCCAGCTGTACCTCCCCAGGGTGCCACCACCAGCTCTGTCACCCACAGCCATGCACTAGGATTACTGGATTGGAGGCTGTATCCACATCCAGAGCTCTAGGCTGGGTTTCAGTACAATTACCCTCCAGACACCTTCCTGTATTTGGCCTCTACATTATCCAATGGCAGTGAGTGGCACTGTTAATTTATGCACTGCTTTGTTTCAGGTTGCCTGAAGGATGGTTTCACTGGTGTCTCTTAAATCTTGTCTTGTGAGAAATAACAACAAATTTTTCCACTTCAACTTTCCTGTAAAAATTTGTAGCTTTCTGGGCCCTTCTCCTTTGAGTCCTTTTTCAAGCTGATGTCTTGTTTAATTTCTCCTTGTACAAAGCCACAGTCCCCTTTTCCCCTTATTTTCTACTCTTTTTTTCCAGTTCTATATCTATTTTTAAATGAGAATGTAACGGTTTCTATCAGCTGTATCAATATTTCTATTTTATTCTCTATTACTTTCTTCTGGGCACTGGCACAGCTGGTTAATAAAATGGGTATTGATCACAAAATATACTTAAAAGTTTCTTTATTGAGTAGCTGGCTGATAATCTGTCTTCTACAGGTCCTTCTATAAATAAATTTGAATGATCTGGGAAAAAACCCCAACTTTTACTATATTCACAGAGCATTCTTTGCTGAAGGTGGCGTACACGTTGGGAAAGGATGGGGTTTTTAATTTAACCCACGTAGCCTAGCAACATTTATACCATCAATAAACAAGCACTGTTCTTCTGAACAAAAGAGCACACAGCCCTTTCTCCATCCTGACTCTGTTGGTAGTGATGGCAAAACTGGCAGTGCCCAGCCTGCTGCATTTATGTTGTCTTCTTCCTTTGTGTCCCTTTTATTTTCACTTCAGCTCACCTGCTAAAGCTTTGCTTGGAATAATGGTAAGATCCTGAAGTGAGGTGTCCATGGAAGATGCTCATCTTGATTTTTGTGTCTGGTTTTTCTTGCTAACAACGCTGCTAATCACATTAGTCACATGGCTGTTCTACATTCCCTGAAACAAAATTGCCAGGAACCTTGAAATCTGTTAAATGTTTGCCCACGAGTATTTCTTGAAGGAAGATCTTTGGCAACTGTGTGTCACTTCTGAAATTTGCCACAGTTCAACACTGAAGGGAAGGATCTTTCCTAAGTCACCGGTTTCCTGGGACATCTGTGTTCAGGAATGTGAGGGCTAACTGCATTGCCAACCTCACCTGGGTGACCTGGTGGTCAAAATGGGAAATCCAGCTTTGTTATGTACACAGAGGCTTCCAATGGGACATGAAAAATAAACTCTTGTGATTCATAAACTCTCAGATCCATGGAACATACAGCCAGTGTGTCATCACTCAGTGACCCACAGCCCCAGGGCAGCTTTGTCTAAGCTTTGTCTGCATCGTTTAGAGGATGAAGGTTCCATGGAGGGGACTCTGCACCAGCCCTTCTGAGCCTTTTCTGTGTCAAATAAGAGAAACTTCTCTTGGTGAAGTGGCTGATGGTCCTTTCTCCATGGCAGTGACCTGGCACCTGCCCTGGCTCTTCACAACCAGCCTGGACTAAACGTGTTTAAACCCAGGTCATAGATTCCAGCTCGTGGGAGCAGAGATGTGACCCCCTCGGCATTCAAGGGCAGCATCCAGCTCAGGCAGAACATGGCACTTTCTAAGACACCATAAAGGGCTACAAGGGAACAAGGGGGTGACATATTTTGGGGAAAAAAAGCACTAATTTTCGCATGTGTGCTTGTTGCACACAGGTTACCAACCCAAGTTCCTCTCAAAATTTTAAATACTTATGCTCTTGCAAGGTTCTACATTTGGCTTTTTCTCATTTTTGTCTGTTTTTTTTTTTTTTTTTTTAAATCATTCTTTATACAATTAATTAATGTACTGGTGGATAAATTGTAAAGTCTTTTTTGTTTACTTCAAAGTATCTCAAGTACATAAGCTTTTTAAAGTAAGTAGACAGCACTAGTACACATTTTGCTACAATATGGAATACTGGTGCTCCTGAATTCTTGTATATTAAAAATAGTGATCCTTACCACTTCATTTCCATTTTCATAAGATATTGGGTTTTCCTGTCATATATAATGAAATTAAATTAATTCTAAATATACTTTTTAAAAAAATTCTGATCTTAAGAATTTATTTACATTTAATGTTTTACTTATTCTTGGTGACTCTTTTATGGAACCTTCTTTGCCCTAAATAATGCTTAAAAGCAACTTATTTTCATAAATAAGTAAATAAATAGGTTTCCATTTACTGGAAGCATGGAACAGTCAACCTCGATGTCTCTTCACTTCTTCCAATGACTGGAGTATTAATTTCCAAAAGAATGTTCCCCGAGACTTCATCTGGCTAACAAATACTGCTTCTAAGGTTTGGTCATGATTTTCCTCCTGTTCCAGTAGCTCTTGCCTAATCGGTTTCAGTATGAATTTAGAGATGAATGAGAAATCTGTTATTCTACATATGTCAGAGGTAAAGTATAATCTCATTTAAAGTATAATCTCATTTCCCAGTTTGCCTCTGCAGTCTGGGAACCTGAATTGCTGACACAGTGAGTGCTTGCTGTCTCCTTTACCTTCTTTATTGGGTCTTTTCCTGTAAAAATATGTACTGCTCAAAATTCCTGCAAAAATCTGACCTTTCACAAAGTACTGGCCTATTTCAAAGTGTATTTTAAACTATTTGCTTTTGACTGTGAGCAGAATTTGAATCCTGTGATTGTGATAACTGGGAAAGCAACTATGTCCTTTAATATGAGATACCATCGTATATACAGCTTCAATCTGAAAGCCACTGGTAGAGTGCATGGCTTTCCTTTGCTTGAGCTGCAGAAAACAGCAGCTGGAGCAGACCTTTCATGTCTGGCATTTGATCAAATACTTTCCTGAATTAGGATAACAGATTTTCAGTTTTGTCATTTTTACCTTCATTGTTTATTTCTTTGATCATCAGATATCTCAGTTCAAAGGCAACTAATAATTATTTGGGGTTTTTTTTAAGCTTCAGATGCATTGTTTCAGATGGAGATGATCCCTGCAGGGCTGGGGGCCACCCCATTCCTGGGGTGGGAGGCCAAGGAGGTCCACAGCAGACAAGGAGGACTACGGGAACGGCAGGATGCTGAGCACAGAGCCTGGACCAGCTCCCTCTGCATCCCTGCAGTGCCAGGCTGTGGCCCCACTGCCCCCTAGCCAGACCCTGACCATGACCAGGCTCTTGGCTCATGCTTGGCTGCCGTCCCTGGCAGCTCCTGGCTTTGCTTCCCTGAGGGATTCGCCGGCCCTTGCTGCAGCTGGACCCACTCCCACTGTGAGCACCCAGCACTGGCCCCTATTTCCGGTTTTTTTTGTATCCTTTACATTTTATATAACCTCCTCTTTCCTGAACTCCTAATGTCCATATTTTTCCATCATGGGAATAGGCTCTTCCCAGTCAAACTACCCTTCCTGCAGCTTTCCTTCTGAGCACCAGCACTGTCACTGTGCAACCTTCAGACTTGCTAACTCCTAAGAAATCCTCCCCTATAACCTTTTGTTTGTTCCTCGTGTAGTCAAATCCTCTATTTTAGTTGCATTTTTGCTACTGCAAGAACATTTTCTATTCTTTTGCCCTTTTTTCACTTTCCTCCCCTATTGAGTCCCTCATTTGCCATGCATTTTTTTCCAGCAGCTAATTATTGGTTTCTCCCTCTGGACTATTCTTTGTGTGTCTGTGAGACTTGGATTTTGATTCCAAGCAACTGGAATACATTTTCCCCTTGTTTAAAGCCTCTCTGTAGGTAAAAACAATTTTGAAAATTGAAAGAAGATTTAAATCAGCATTTTTTCTGTAGCAGATTTCTTCCTTTTGAGCTCTGCTCTGATTTCTACAGTATTTCTTCTAAAGTTCAGCACCAAGGTCTTGAGAGAATAGCAGCTTATTGCTTCTGTGATAAACTCTTATCTTTTTATAATTTAATATGCCTGCCACTAAGTGGAAAATTTCCCTGTCAGTCTCTATGCCTGTTACATAGGCTGGGAAGCAGCAATAACACTTATTCTGTCAGCTCCTAGGACAGCTCAGATTAAACAACCTTGCAATTAAAGTGTTTACATATTAGAGCCTCCTCCCTCCTTCTTCATTTCAGGCAATTTCATCAATCAGTTGCCTTCTCTTTGACTGGTTTTTCTGCAGCTCTCTGGCACTGCTCAGGCCCAGGATGGTTCTCCCTAGTCTGGTCCAGCACCATCCCTCACTGTCAGTACCCTGAACCTCCTCCCCACTCTGGCCTCATCCTGGGGTCCGCTGGGTCAACTCATCCTTCTCCGCCCCTTTCAGTCCTTTCTTGTCTTTGCTGTTACAGTTTCATTTCAGCCCAAGGCCAACCAAAATTGCAAGCCTGAAACACCCTTTCCAATGAGACATTTTCAATTTTCAGGATTCTTTGGCAGCAAATCTTTCGTAACCCTGTGCTTTACAGGAGCTGGTTGGTTTAGAGTGTAAATGAAGTGAGTTTACTTGAGATGCAAAGCTAAACAGACAATAAATGGCTAAAATAGCTAAATAGAAGAAAAAAACTATTTCTGAGCCAAGACCCATTTAATGCTGCATCCTCGAATCTAGTAACTGCCTAAGGGTGTTTTCACATAAAGAGAAATCATCCAGCTTTTGAGGGGGTTAGTGAAGCAATCACAGTCTGACTGGGCTGTCAAACGTGCAAAGAAACCCAAGAGCAAACACTGTGCTTCCAGCTCTGATCTGATTTTGGTACTTGCAATGCTGTCTGTAATGGTCGTGTTCCTTCGCATGGGAAATGGCTCGGCAGGAAAACACTGCCAAGTGCAAACTGTGAAGTGATGGGGGCAGAATCACTCCTGATACACTCTGGGATGCACTTTGCTGTCAGAAGAAGCTACATTCCCTTTATCTCAGAGGGTTCAAATACTCTGAGGTAAGGAGGAGATTGAGGGAGACAGGCCTTAATTACATTCTTCTTTCTCGTATGATTAAATATGAACAAAAGAACAACTGCACTGCATATCCCCTGCACTGAGATCTCTCTGCAAAGGCACAGACAGAGCCAAACTTTGCCAGCAGTCTTCTCGTTTCATCAACAAGCCTGCGTTCTGCACGTCAAAGGTTGTTCAGGATGACAAGAGAAATAAACTCTACAAAATCTGAAGAAGGGCCTGACTGAGCTAAACCAGACAGGGGGCTTGATTAATAATTCAAAACAATACTTTGAGCACTAAATGGTCTTTCATGTTCCTCTAAGCCGCAGTATAAATCTAGGCTGAATCTTTTCCAACAGGTTTGCGTTAGCTGTGACTCAGAAAAACCATTCCTCTTTAAAGAGGTGTGAAGAGAGAAAGGAAACAGGTTTTTTTTTTTTAGGTGTTGCTTCCAGTTTCTTGCTGACTGCACATTAACCTCAAGGAACTGACATCGCTGACTTGCGTTTGAAAGGGACCCCCCCCACCCCAAGTGTAGATAACGTGGAGCATCGGTGTGGGGACCTAGTAGCTCTGAAGTGACATCAGAATCTGAAATGTGTGGGTTTGGAATGCATTCCTGGCTGTCATTTTTCATTTTCTCAGTGTTCTGAAGCGAAAAAAGGTCTTCCTCAAGGCAGTTTGCTTTTAAACACAAGTTGAAACACGGCAGATGAATCCCCTCAACTAGAGGGAGTATGTGGTACCGTGCTGGTCTCTGTGCCACAAACCCCCTTTGCAGATGTTTGTGGAGAGCATTGCCCAGCTGTGGTGGGGAGGTGTGGAAAAAACACTGACATGTCTGCTTGATGTGGTGTCAAAATGCTGTCAGAATTTTGGGGACTTTGCTGTTAGAATGACTGCTGATGGACTCGACTGAAGACGGGTTAGAAAGGATGTTGATAGAGAAGATATGTGTTTGATACAGAGAGGAGAAGGAAGACTGAGAAGTTCATGGAAAAGTAGAGTGGTGGAAATGATGATCGAGAAAAGTAGCAGAGTTTATTCCAGACAAGAATAAAACAAGACTGCATCCACAGAAGGCAGAAAAAGAGCTAATGTGGTTGAACCACAGAAAACAGGAGGGATTGGATATGTGTTTCAGCTGGGAAAGGGTATGGAGAGGTTGGATCTTTCCTATGTGAAAGGAAAATGTGACTCCCAAGGTTATTGATGCAATTACCAGAGTCAATGAGAGAAAAACAGCAAGAGGTCAGGGGAGGCAGCATCCTTTCAAGGCTAAATGATGCAAAACCACACATTCTGAGAAACATTTCCCACAGCTCAGGAGTCCTTTGTAAACACAATTAACCACAGCTCTAATTGTGAGAAGAAAGACAGCTAATGTCATGTGGAAAATGCACACAGAATGGCTCAGAGAGAGTAAGGCCAGTGTCAGAAATACAAGGAGAGAGCAAGAGTACGGCTGTAGATGCAAGTACAGGCAATGTCTACTTAAAGCCAGGTATATTAACACCAGTGAGACACAGCACTGCAGCAGATGGTAGTATTTCCAGAGGCAAAAAGTAATGCCAGACCCCCTAGAGCAGGCTCTGTTCTTCTGCAAGAATTAGTGTAAGTCAAAAAAAAAAACAAACCCAAAGCACTGCTATCACACAAAATCAGGACATAGAGGTTTGTGTTCCAGAGATGCTGTCTATTCAAGGGCTAATTACAGTAGGTAAAAGGTTTCCTAATACAGCAGGAGAAAAGATTCCTACAAGAGCAGACAAATCACAAGGAATTTACCTGTCTTATGCAAATTCTTCTGTTCTTTATCATCTTTCTGCTTCTCAAATAGCTCTTCAAGTGCTGTGGATAACTGATATCCATTCATCAAACTTTGAACCCCTTCACCTCACTGGCAGTTACACAGATTGCTCCAGTGAAGTCCCCAGAAGGTGTTTGGTGCCAATAACCCAGAACACCATTGTAATAGAGGGTCTGTGGGCTCTTGAGAATGTGTCAGTGCTTTCCTGTGGGTTGGGGCTGGTTGCTGGACTGCCTGCAGGCACACAAGTGGGAGGCTCTGTGCTCACAGCATTAACACAGGCATTTCCTATGTAAATTGATTTTTAATCTGCTGCCTACATGGTGCTGGGTACTGAATGTGACACAGCATAATGCAGCACTGCACTACCCTAAAATCCAGGTACAAGCTCACCTCCACTCATAGATGCATTGTGTACCATGAGGCAACGACTTCAGACGTTGTGGGATGTTTGCAGGTCCTGATGATACAAACCAAGGACAGAGGCCTCAGCACTTGCTCCCTTCAGCTAATCCCCTCCCACTGACGTTGTCTTTCCTGCCAACTTACTTCAGCACACTAAATGGTGGTGGAAAGCTCCTTTGGGCTGTAGCCTGGTCTCACCACCTGCAAAGAACCACACACAACAGTCACCTTCTCCTGACCCAGACCCTGCTGTGAGTGCAGGGTCCTACACTCACCAGGCTCTGGTGAGATGAACCTTTGGGCTCCCATGCTCCCCGAGGCCAGGGTTGTCCTGTTTTTCAGGGGGCAGCTGCTCTGAGCCGATTTAATCAGCCGGCGTTGCCCGCCTGATGTCGCCGAGGCAACGCGGTCCCCGGCGAAGTGGGTTGTGTTGCCATAGCAACACGATGCTCCTGGCTGCTGCCTCCTTCCATTGACGCCATGGAGGGAAAATTTGGGGTTGCTGGAAGCACTGGGTCCTACCGAGGGTGAAAAGTCGGGCTGACTGAAGGACCACGGCAAAGGCAGACACAAACACCTATCTGTAACCCTAATTATAAGCAGTTGCAACTAAAGGCTCTGGCTGCTGCTGCTGCAGCTTTACCAGTGCCCTCACTAATGTGCTGCTCTGAATGAAATTATTTATGTCACATTCCTTTATTGCTCATTATCACATGTTTTGCTTTATAGTTAAACTATGAATAATCTAAGCAGGACACATCTTGATGCTATCACTCCTATTCTGGATGTATTGATTCAGCAAGTTCTTTCAACACAGACTCTGACAGTTGAGTATTTTTAAATAACAGAAGACTGAAAGGAGAAAGAGGGAAAATATGTGACTGTCCGTAGAAACTGATGACAGCTCCTTTTCCAGAAATGGTGGGAAATATTGATTTACTCTCCTCTGACCTTCACAGAAGAAGTTCAAGGCTGTTCTAGCTCTTTTTCAGCAGGTTCCTGCTGTTCCAAGGCAAAGACCTATTATTTGCACATTAGTAACTTCCCCTTGCCACTTCTATGTCAGGTATCACCAATCCAAGAGAGAGCTCTTCTAAAGCTTATGAGGTATTGAGGAAAGGCTGGAAAGGGATGAATCACAAAACAATGTCAAGAAATGATGGAGTCCACAAGCCCCTTGGAGACACAGAAGCAGTGGGGGACAGAAGCTGTGCCTGCTGTGCATCCTTGATCCAGTCATCTTTTCCTGAAGTTGCAATGCAAATATTATGACAACATATCTTATTAAGCTTTCATAACAAAATTTATTTGGAACTACTGCCTTTGTAAGCAGATAACAACGGAAACGATCAAAGTATGAATGCACAGAGAGTTTTCAGGGAAGGGAAGGACTTTTCCACATGGGTCTAGGACCAGGCATGGTGTGGCTGTGATTCTGGCACAGCTCCTGTGTGCACACCCCAACACAAGCACTCCAAGCTGACTGAAGGAGCAGGAGGAAGTATTGCGAAGGCAGAGTTGCTCATGGAGCAAAGTGTATGGTAACAACGTGATTAACTGCTCACAGTTCAAGATTTGCAGAACAACAAATCCTTTTGTAAACACTTGGGATTTCTACAGTATAAATAAATAAGTATGAACATAGCTCTTATTGTAAAAATAAAGACACTTCTTTATTAAATAGCTTTTAGTGATAAAATGGAGTGCAATGATGAGATTTCTATAATTGAAAAAGACTCATCTTCAATTAAAGATAACTAGAATAATGCCTGACAACAAAGTACAATACTTCCTAAAATTTGTATTAAATATTCATTGATTCACAACGTATGCTCTGAGGAAAGAGATAGGTATTGAAGTTATTTTACATGCATTTACAGGACACCTTATAAAAGGGTAATATTTTTGCACTGCAAAGCAATGAATGGGTTTCCAGAGCCATTCAGAACATAGTCATGTATGGATGTCGGTGATACCACTCTCAGGAGCAGGGAGATTGCTGTGTTTGCACCATCAGTCTCACCTACTGGCTGACCCGATTTGATCCATAAGACCTCTTAATAACTTCACCAGTTAAAGGATCTTTAAAGATTTCGAGATAAATATCGCCAGCACGGCTATGAAGATCTTCCCGTACGGACACTAGGTGTCAATGGAGAGACACTTCAAAGCAGCTGCAACAAAAGGCAGTGCCGTCGCGTTCTCTGAAACCAGGTTCTTCTTTTCCTCTTTTTCTCATGCAGCTCTTCTGGGCTGATAGCTTTGGGAACTAAAGTCACAGAAAAACCCCTCAGGAGCAGCATGTACACGGAACACCCATCCAATTAGTTTCCGATGCAGATGTGATTTAAGTCCTGGTTTAAGGGAGTAAGCATTTATCAGCTCTACAAACCAACCGGTTTTTTGCTGAGACTGACAAAGAGGAATCTGAACATGGTTAGGTGGCCTTATAATCCTCTGGCTTAGATGCTGAGACCACCCACTTCCTTGAATGAAGACATCCAAGCTGCAGTCAAACACCAAATATTTTTATAAAACTTAAGAATCTAAACTGAATTGGAAAAGCAGCCTAGAAGTAAGAAGTTTCATGTCCTCATTATCCTCCCCTGAGACATAGAATCCTCTGTCAACAATTTTATAATGTAGCCAAAGCACAGGATGTGAAGCATGACAGAAAAATGCAATACCAACTTCTTTCTCTGAAAACTGAAAACTGGTTAACTGAGCTTCATGCTGCGTTATGAGTTTAATTAAAACAAGTGCTAACAGCTGTAATAGATCTAATAAAAGGGCTTTCAGAGGGAAATATAAAAAATTGGGGATTTGGTGGATAAAGCTCATTTATTGCTGTTGAAATTTACATTTAATACTACAATTTTAACACTCGTAATTAGTTAACACACCATGCTGAGCTGGTAGAATGAGCCCCTCATGTACTGTAGTACTGCCCCTTGTTTGTGTACAGCACTTCTGTGCATGGGGTGGATCTGCTGGCACCAAAGGGCAGGACACAAACACTGGCTTCTTGTAGTTCCCATAAAAGGGGGCCGAAGAGCAAAGACGCTGTTACTCCTGTCTCTGTGAGGGATCAGGCACTGCAAGAGGAGGGAGAGATTGAGGCTTAGTCTGGAAGGAGGCTGAAGGTGCCCCACTGGGGGACTTAAGCAAGATGGGGTGAGAGATAGATTATGGATTTGCATTAAAACCTCAGAGGCACAGTTCTGGGAAGGGCAATGGTTATTTGACAAGCAGCTAGTGAAGATGTATGGCAAATGGGCAAATGCCAAGTGGGAGAAATGTTTAATAACAGGCAATGGACTAAGGTGACAACAGAAGATGTGAAAACAGGAGCTGTAGCAACAGTGACAGAGTGATACCTGTCTGGAGAATGGCAGGTTGGGATCCAGTAGAGAAACGCTCATGACCTGAACTGTGTCGGGTGGAAATGTGAGAAGATGGGGAGGGGACAAGTATGTACGTACAGCAAAAGACAATTCCAGATTCGCAAGCAAAGGAGCAAAGGCTCAAGGAAGAAGTACATGTCAGAGCTCTTGGCGTGACAAACCCCTTAATGTCAACAAATTTGCGTTTGAACGGGTTCTGCTGGAAAACACAGACAGTAATTGGTATTTTGGATTCAGATTAGTCTTTGAACAACTCAAAGGGAGGTTAATTTTCTTTCTTCTCTTAAAACAAAACAATCTAAACCCCTTTTACCTTTATTTAATAGCATTGTCCATGAACTCTACCGCTGACAGAGCCATCCAGCAGGATCAGAGCTATCCAGTGAGTGACTGGCTACCACAGGACGTGCACAAAGGTCTGTTTCCATCAGCTCCCTCCACTCAGAATTCATACCAACCTCAGTGGAGAAGTTCTTCATGTAACATTTTCAGTGCTGGGGGCAGAAACTAAAGCACAACCAAAATGGGTACGGCTTCCACTTTGTGTGCAAGAGAACCAACTGCTTACCTCAGTCTTTATTTGAATATCCCCTCTTTACACAGCAAAGTGCTGTTGCTCAGGGTAGCAGGTCCAAACCGTCACACGTGGGAACCATAAACTCTGCATCTGCGATGTAGTGTTGCTCAGGGTAGTTTAAACAACCTGGTCATCCCACACATCTTATGTCACAGATACTGCTTCTGTCTAGATTGAAACATGTGCCATTTTACGTCATAAGTATGACATGGCAGAGATATTTCTTTCTACATCTAGGTAACAACTAGGGTAAATGTTTTACAAAATCTGGTATTTTAAAGTTGATGTCTTATACTGCCTGAAAAACTGTAATTGCTACCAACAGAATCATTGTTTTCTGTGTTCTTAAACTAAATTCTGACAATGAAAATGTGGACGTTTCTACAGTTGTTTCTCCCAAATCAGTACTTTGAGATTTATCAACAAATGCAGCAAAGCATCTTTCCAAGAATTATCTAAAATATTTTTGATGGACTAAAGGTAGTATCAAGGTGACATATTTCAGCTGATGCAGATAGTTATATATATTTCTTCAAAAAGCTTATTGTTTTTCTCCCGTCTTTGTACTATTGATAGACAGCCCCACATGATTTATTGAAATATACAGTACTCAAGCTACTCTATAGGCTAACAAAAATACGTACTAAATCTTGCTTACTGTCACAAGCAAAACGACTGGTTGGAGAAACAAAGTTTGGTTTCTGAGGTTTAGCACTTACCTAAGAAGAAAACTAAAGAGAGGCAGGAGAAGCAGTTTCATCTTGCTCGTTGTGTTGAAGGATCTCTGCATCCTGGTAGCTAAGCCCGGAATCACTTTGTCTTTTGTTACTATTACTTTTGGTAAAATGAAAAATTCAGAAGGTTTGTGTACATTATGCACAAAGTTACATGATATTTATGGACATTTACAGCGACAGGACCAAGCAGTGGGTAGAAAAACAAAGTTTGAATGTCAAACACAGAACACTTAAAATGTGAAATTCTGCATGTTTTTTACAGTGAAGGTGGTCACTCACTGGAGAAACAGAGCAAGGGAAGTGGGAATTTTTTAACCTTTTTATGTCTTAAAATGAAGACTGAATACGTTCAGTTCACAATGATGTGGCAGCCAAAAAGAAAACCCAAGGAAAAGTGTCAGAGAACAAAATAGTCAGCATAATTTTTCAGCTGTGTAAAACCAGCATGAGCCCCCATTTTGGGATGTGGAGACCAGACCTGCACACAGTGCTCATGAAAGGCACAGCGAAGTTGAGCAGGTACAGAAAGGAGGATTTAATGTGACTCTGGGGATGAAGCAGCTGCTTTTGGAGGAGAGACTGGTAGGACTGTAAGGCCTTAACTTTGAGAAGGCTGAAGCAGAAGGGCAAGGGCAGGATTTCACCTTGTTTGCAGAGAGCTCTGAACCTGCCTGTAGCGGTGTAATGCTGTAGGACATGTCCAGCTTGAGGGGGTTTGTGTGTCTCCTACAACACACAACAGCTCTATCCCAGGTAATTAATCCAACTCCCCTTAAACAAGAAATTGTGTTCACTAATACCAACCATAAGAATATTTAGTGTTTTCTTGCATTATCCTTGTACGGAATTTGAAGGCAAGTATAATTAATCCAAGATGTACATATGTTTATATAGCGTCTGAGCTCTAGCTGGTGCTGACAGGTTTATGAGAAGTGAATTATTACTTGGTATAAAAGGATTTATTTTACTTTTTAAGGAGCCAGTCTGGAGGTTTAATCTGATTATTTTTCCCCAGTGCAAGACTACACAGACTATTTTGCTTTTTTCTGCTTGCAACGTGGCTGCTCCTGCCAGCAGGACAAGCACTGAAGCTCCATCACAGTTTCACTACGGGTGCATCAAAGTCACATAGCACTGGGTAGGGCAGGTAGACTGAAGGGAAGAGACCTCAGTATTTGGGAGCACAGACATGATAAATATGGGAATAGTTTTCAGACATTAAGAAACTATTAGGAGAAAATGTGATACTGAAATATATATATTTTGATAGGAATACTGTGGGGACCATCTTCATCAGCTACACAACTCTTATCTAACTCCATAGTGGGTGCTGAACATGCCATGAAGCCAGCGGAAAGAAATTGCATTGGTCATGCTGCCTGAATTAAAAATGTTATTATAAAGGGGATCAAATTAAGGCTGCAAGTGCGTTTCCTAATTTATTTTCTACCATTCTTTTAATGTGAACGCTTATTATAGTAATAATTAAAAAAGTTATGCAAATTCAGGGTGAAAGAAAGCGTATGATGAGCTCTATGTATGCACAGCAGGCAGTGTTACAATTAACTTGATCGCCGACAAGCTTCTCACACGTTTGTGCCATCAATTCTGATGCTCACACAAAAAAAAATGTGTATAAAGAAAGAGGATAAACTGTGGCGTAAATCAGCTTGAAAATGCGCTTCACGTGACCTTGGATGCTTCTGATTTTGTCCGTTGACCTTCAGAGAAGGCTAAACACAGCTCTGCTCTTTACTTTCCTCTGAAGCTGATTAGCTCTGTGTGGACATATAAATATCAGAAGGCCAATACAATGCAGCTCTTCAGACACTTAACACTATTTACTGGCAACACATTTTCTCAAATAAATAACCAGATTTATATCCACAGGCACAAATGAGAGAAAATTGCCAACAAATGCTAAAAGCTAACGTAAGAGCTGACTGATGCCAAAAGCAGGTAATTGTCAGGTGGCTGGCTGTTGTGAGAGTGGGAAAGAAAGATCAGTGTATTCCCTTGAAATCAGACTTTCCCTTTCTTCCTCTGATGCTACTTGACAGTGTTTTTTAATAGTATTTTATTTTTCCATTTCTACGGCATTTTTGCCTTTTATTTTTACCTCTTCACCACCAGCAATGACTTCAGCACCCAACTGGCAAAGGAAAGATCTCATCAGAAATCTTTATTTTGTGGGGGACTAACCAGATACAGTTTTCTTGTTGATCAGAACCTTTTCCCTATATCAGTTCTGTCAGTAGTTAAAGAATGTACATTGAACAGTGAAATGTGCTCTTGTATTGTTTGAGACCACCAGATAGATAATATGGTAGGAGTGGCAAATGAAAAATCAGTATGGATTACCTTTTGATAAAGAGGATATAGCAACTGTTATTTCTGCTGCAGAAAAGAATAAAAATGAAGGGAAATGGCTTTATACAAAATATTTGGATGAACTGGTGAGATATGGCAAATCTACCTCCTGTGCTTTTGAAAAATTTGTGCATTTTGTAAGGATACAAGATGTAATCTTACTCCACATAAAAATATGGGAGCTGTATTAGAGAGAACATCTTTTAAATGCCATGAGATTTCCAACTGGTCCCCCTTGCTGAGAATAAAGTAGAAGCACTGGATGGGTGTTCTGGGATCCACTGCTGTGCCCTCCATGCAGCAGCCATGAACAGGATATCTTTGTATGGGAGTGCGGTGAGAACCATCTGGATAAGCAAGGGGACTCTGGCACATGAGCAAACAAAACCAAAACACAGTACACTGCCTCAGCCAATTTTGGGCTTCTAAATGAAATTTTGTATTTGGAGTACAAGTTGATTTCTGCTCTTTTATTGTCGAAACAGAAGAAGAATTAAATAGAAATATTTACACTGACAACCCGTAGCGGCGTCACTAAGCCAACATCCGTATTCCCCTTGACTCATGTTTGTACAGGGCTGTTTTCTTCCAAGACGAGGTTTCCAGCAACGTCAAACCTTAAGGGCCAATGGCTCCATGCCACACAGCCTGTTGCCTTCCCCTGGGAATCCGCCAAACACACAGATAACAGGTTTTGTACAATGAACAAAAGCAAAAATGTGAATAAAGTGCATCCAACAACATACAAACCGGTGCCTCCAAAGCTCACACATATAAGCAATCGTGAGAGGGTAGTGAGGTGCTGGCACAGGTTGCCCAGAGAAGCTTTGGATGCCCCATCCCTGGAAGTGTTCAAAGCCAGGCTGGACACTGCTTGGAGCGATCTGGATTAGTGGAATGTGTCCCTGCCCATGGAACCAGATGATCTTTAGGTTTCCTTCTAACCCAAACCATTCTATGATTTCGTGTTTCATTTTTCTGAAATTCTTCATCTTTAATGGTTTATTATTAAGCAGATTATAGCTAATGCCACGATTTCACAAACAATGTCATTATGGCTCTATTCAGGTGTGAAGAGCTGCATGCTGCTCCTCTTGCACTCACTTCTTTTAAGAACTGTTCTTTAATGATTTAATTCTGACAAGAAACCAGAGGGGTGGGAGGACCTAAATCGAACTGCAACCAAGAATTAGACTGAGATTTAGATTAGATCCCACCAAGGTCAAACAAAAACAACTTCTCCTGCTCCTGGGGGAGCTTTGAAACACCCTGACTTTCACCTTGAGGAAAGAAAACCTCTGTCCTTGGCACTGGTGAGGGCACTCTTTGAGTCCTGTGTCCACTTCTGGGCCCCTCGCTTCAAGAAGGACATTGAGGTGCTGAAGTGACTCCAGAGAAGGGCAAGGGAGCTGGGGAAGGGTCTGGAGCACAAGTCCTACGAGGAGCAGCTGAGGGAGCTTGGGATGTTTAGCCTGGAGAAAAGGAGGCTCAGGGGAGACCTTAATCACTCTGTACAACTCCCTGAAAGGAGGCTGCAGGAAAGTGAGGGTTGGCCTCTTCTCCCAGGCAACTTGCAACAGGATGAGAGGACATGGCCTCAGGCTGTGGCAGTGCATGTTTAGGTAGGACATTAGGAAGAAGTTCTTCTCAGAAGGGGTGATTAGACACTGAACAGGCTGCCCAGGGAGGTGGTGGAGTCACCGTCCCCCGTAGGTGTTTAAGAAAAGGCTGGCAAGTCAGTGCCAGGGCTGGCTGACATGGTGTTGTTTGAGGTTGGACTCGATGATCTCAGAGGTCTTTTCCAACCTAATTGATTCTGTGATTCTGACAAGAAATGAGAGTACGGGGTCACCGATGTGAAATAAGAGAAAAATAGCGAGAAGGCAGCGACGGCCGGGGCCTGCCTGCCCGGTCACCGAGCCGACCTGCCCCCCTTCCCACACCCCGCCGCCAGCTTTAGTCCAAACGTTTCCCAACGCGGCACAAACCCAACCCGAACCCCGTGACTGGAGGGGGGGGGGGGTTAACGGCGCGGGCAGAAGCGTTTCCCAAAGAGCTGAACCGTCTGCACACGGTGCCAGCGCCGTGCCCAGGTCCCACCCCCCGTGCCCGCTCCCCACTCCCGGTTCCCACTACCATTCCCATTCCCGGTCCCGGTCCCGCTCCCGGGGCCGCTCCCGCGGTGACGCACGCGCCCCCCCTCGCCCCCCGCCCGTCGCGCACGCGCGGCCGCTACCCCGCGCCCGCTCCCGCGCCCGCTCCGCGCCTGCGCCGCGGGGCCGCTCCCGGCCCGCCCCTCCCGCCCGCGCCCCGCGCTCGTGTGCCCGGAGCGGCGGGACTCGGTCCGCGCCCGCCGCGGAGGCCCCGAGCCCGCACACACCGCCCACCGGGCAGGGCAGGGGGGCCAGGCGGCCTCCCGGGCGCCCGGCACCATGAGCATCGAGATCCCGCCGGGCCTCACCGAGCTGCTGCAGGGCTACACGGTGGAGGTGCTGCGGCACCGGCCGTCCGACCTGCTGGGCTTCGCCGCCGAGTACTTCGCCCGCCTGCGGGATGCCCGCGACCAGGAGGCGGGCGGCGGCCGCAGAGTGGTCAGCTTCGACGGGGAGCCCATGCAGACCGAGTCCAACGGCGACGAGGAGCCCGAGCGCGGCGACGAGGACTCGGACTCCGACTTCGAGCGTAAGTGCAGGCGCCGCCGCCGAGGCGGAGCCGGGGGCGCGGGGTCGCGCCCGGGGGATGCGGCCCCAGGGCCGGCGGCCGCCTCCCCGCCCCGCTCGGTCCCTTGCCCCGGCCGCCGCCGCCCGGGCAGAGCCGGAGGGCGGCGGGGATTGAATGGGGGAGCGGCTCCGCCGCCGCCCGGGCCCCGTGGGACCGCCTGCCGAGCCCCGGCGAGCCCCGACCCTCCGGCTGGAGCCCCTTGCCGAGGTGTCCGGGGCTGCCCCGGGCGGCCGGGCAGCCCCGGGGTCTGACCGGGGACCGCCGGGGAGCGAGCGCGCTGCCAAGCATGTGATAGGGAAGATCATGTGTTATTGTGCAACGTCTTCTGTACTTATTCTTGCATTTCTGTCTTTAAATCGTTGTGGACGAGTGTGGGGTTTTTTTTCCACCTAAAGCTGGGGTTGTTTATTGCCTCTGTTGAGCGTTTGAAGTGGTTATTATAAAGCAGCGAAATAACTTTCGCTATTTCAAAACGTGTTAAGATTCAAAGCCACCTGTATGTTCCTCTTTATGCTGTCAGTCTCTGAGACAGAGAAGATATTTAACCTGAGCTGAATGAAACGCCACTTATGGTACTTCCATTTTTATTCTGTCAGAACATACTCTGTGTTGTGCTATGCAGAGCCTTTGTCATTTGGGCTGTAATTGAGCTTCAGCGCAAAAAGTTATTTAAAATGTTTGTGAATGGTGGTACTTGGCACACCCAGAATTTTGGACCTGAAATCACTGCATACTCTTTCGGTATTAGAAAGTAGCTTAAGGGGAAGGGAAAGGTGAGAAAAGACGTCCTTTTCCTAAACTTTCAGTGCCCTCGATTTGAGGTCTTGTGCCCTTGACCTATAACGGGAGTAAAGGTTTCTGACTTTTATTGATAGAGGATCCTCTTTTAGACCAATTACTGGGTGTCACCTTGTGAATGAAGTGTGCTCCTAATGTCTATTCTCTGGTTAACAGTTTTAGAGAAACAGGAAGAAATTAAGCTACAGAAAAAATAATTGTTTTTATTAAGGAAGCATTGAGACATCAACTGTTTTTTTTTGCAGCCCTTTTAGACTGGCTACTTTACAAAGTAGAACATACATTCAGTTCTTGAAAGCAGACAACCTAAACAAGACATGGAATATGCGAGAGGACAAGAGTGAAATGTGCAGTCAGAATGAATTAAAAAGCAGTTTACAATTACTGTCTGTATTTGGATCTTTATTTTTTTTCTAATGAGAGAGAAGTTCTGTTCAGGACATGAAGAAGAAAAGATAAAAGGTGAAGGGTAAAGAGGTGGACAGTGGTGGTGACTGAGTTGAAGTTAATGGCATGTTCAAGTATGAGCACAGATTTATGGAAATTACTAGTGATTTTTTGTTCTGCAACAAAGTCAGCAATGTCTTCAAACATCTCTAAACATAAAAAGGTTATAGTTTCTTGTAGAATGTATTATTTTAAAATTACCTCCAGATTAGAAAAATTGAAGTAAGCAATTGGATGTAACTTTTAAAAATATGCAATTTTTATATGACATTTTCCTTTAAAAAAAAAGAAAAAAGGAACCCAAACCCAAAAAACACCAAAAAACCCAACCGAAACAAAACCCCAATTCACCAGAACTGTTAAATGTCTTTGAATGCACTTTTGCTATTTGGTGATCAGTTTACCTAGTTTTAGGGTTTGAATTACCTCCTTTAGGGAAGTAAATGTAAAATTTTCCTGGTGAATGTTACAACTACACCTGGAAGGATCCTCTGAAGTTAAATGTTTTCAAATAAAAATGTAAAATTTTGATAGCAGCGAACAGCTTTTAAAACACAGATTTACATGCTGAGGCTGTCCAGAACAGAAGGGTGGTTCCTTTGCTTCAAGTTTCTGCTTATCATCTTTCTATCTTAGTCAAAGAGAAAATTAAATTAGGAAGGCAGGGCACTGTCACTTGTTGTAGGCAGAGCCCTTTAGGCAGGTGACACTGTCTGTAATGCTGTCTTGCTTATCTGAAAGCCCATGCTGTTTCCACCTTGTGGTTTCCAAGACCTGGGGCAGGAGCAGTGCCGTGTTCTCTGCAGCAGCAGGCGAGGATCCCTCTGTAGTGTCAGGGAAGTGATTCTTTCTTGCGTTGTTCAACTGTGTGGGTAACAGTCGACTGTGGCTGCGTGTTTGTTATTTAGGGTTCTGTTGTAACTGTTGTTGTGTAAGGCTCTAAAAATGAGAAAGTGTTAAGTCAGAGGTTTTGATATCTCTGATGACTGTTATAGATAGGAGCTGTGCCTTGCTGTGGAAGACTAGATCCTGTGTGCTCACACACTGCTTAGTGTTTAAAGGACACTTGGAAATAGATTAGAACACACAATGAGAAACTCAGATAATCTCCTTGGACAGACCTGAGTACTGTTTATTAAGATTGCAGTTTTTCATCTTGGGCAACTTAGGACAAACAATTAATTTCACTGTGTTTTCCTAGGTTAATGCCTTCTTACCTTAGACTTGCTGAGACAGGACAAGTGGATGTTTTCAACACATTTCAATATCTGTTTTTAAATATAAAGATGAAACTGAACAATTGTTTTTGTTAGTTATTATGCTAAGGAAACTTGAAGCTAGTTTAAATATATACCCTTATTGTATATGTTGGGAGTAGGAAACATGTTTGCACAAATAATGTGTCTTCATGTGTTTCCTTCTGGCACAGCGTTAAATCTGAGCATGTCACCAGGCTGCATCTGCATACTAAGAGTGAGAGAACATTTTAGATAAGTTATGTGAGAGTTTTTTGTATGCTCTAAGAGAGTATGGTAATAGAAGTAAGAATAATTCAAAGTCAGAAGGAGCTCTTGGCCTTTGGTGTAAACCACGTGGCAAATGTCTTCATGTACTTCTCGAGACACCCGTGGTTCCTTTGCTGCCACAATGGCACTCCATCCATGTGGTAAAAGTCACTGAAACCAACTAGACTACAAAAAAGACTTGTGTTTTCTTGTCATGCTTAAGAAATTACTTCCAGATTTATGTTCATTCTCAGATTCCCCCGGAGTTTCATCCTTCATTTTAATTGTTTTTGTATATGTGATCAAAGGACATCAGGATGTGGCTGTTCAGCGGAGTGGATTATAAGGAATGTGTGGAAATGAAATGATGATAGTTGTGGGAGAACCTCCTGAGTCATTTATTCACTGGGCTGTGGCAGAGAATTTTTACATTTGAATCTTTACTCAGAGCCTTTATTTCATTGGTATAACTGCAAAATTGACAAGTTGATAGAGTTGGGAAAGGTGCAAAGTGACAGCTTCAAAAATCAGGTTGAGGACGTAGCCAAGGATGGATATGTATTCTGAAAGTATGTCCTTGACCATGACACTTATACTTTTAACAAGGAGGCTCTGAATGGAAGATTAAGATTGTGAAATTAAAGATAGAGAAATGGTCTGTTTGAGTCGTGGCTTTGAGAAACCTTCTGTCGAGGAGGACACTTGAAGGAAGGCAGGGAGCTCTCCTTCCCAGTCCACTGAGGCAGTTGCACAAAGGTGCAAAGTGCTGCATCATTAACTTTCTATTTTGTCTCCTTGTTTGTAATAGTAAAACCATCTGTATTTGTTGTTGGAGGTATTAAACATGACAGTGAAACTAAAATATTTGTGGGATTAAATACTAACTTGAGCAATGCAGGTGTTTCACAAGTATTTTAGTGCAAATCAAATTTTTCCTTCCCAGGATTTCACCTTGATATTGAAGGAAAGAGTATGTGCTTTTCAGCTGCTCCATGAGCAAAAGAGAACCCTTCTTGACATTTTGCTTTTGAGATAATCCTCTTCAGTATGCTCTGTTTCTGTGAAGGAAAATGGTGCATATGAATCTGGATGGACAGGTGAAGAGATCCTTTAGTTCTGCACTGAGCTGCTCAATTAAAATTCAGGGATTTGCTCAATGTCATCTTTAAAACATCAATAGGATATCTGAGCAGAAGGGAGTAGGGAGATGCTCTTTTACATTGTTAGATCTTGGATGTGATTCAGAATAAGAGTTCAGTCTACCTTTGAAATATTTATCTTTTTAATTGTTAAGAGAAGAGCTTAATATTAATTTAAGCCTGTTTCAGATTGCTTATCTTCTTATTCTTAAGCATTATTTGCTTATGCTTTCTTATTCTGTACTGGGCTGATGCATCCTGTGGAATTCCTAAGGAATTATTGCTTTACATTAATCACAAAGCATCAATTCACAAGTCAGGCATAACTCCTTCCTGTTTTCCTGAAATAGTTAAATGAAACTTAGAGAGTAATAGGAGTTGGATGATATTAAGAATTTTGCATTATAGCGTAAGAAGAATAGTGGTCCTTCTTAACAATGCTGTTCAGGTTTTCAGACGTAATTCGGATTCATGTGTTGCTGTGAGATACTATCAGCTTTAAAATGAAAGTACTTTTAAATTTTTAGCAGTGCTTTCACCTGCCTACTTCCTTCATAACTCTTAATTACTGGAAATTAAGCTCAGTAGCTGCCTCCTCGCTCTGTTTTTCTAGTTTTTTGTTTGTTTGTTTGTTTGTTTTGTCCGTAACATTAAAAGAGCTTCTCTGTGCAGAACTGTAGGGGTTTTTTTTTTACAGAATAATTTCATTGTATCGTGCAAATCCAGTCCAAAGAGGAGCTACTCTATTTAAAGTCTAGGTAGCACAGTGAGCACTCTCATAATCTGATGATTACTAGTTCTGCATAATATTTGTAACAAAGCTGTTCTGTGCTCTGCTTAAGTAGTCTCTAGATGTGTAGGGAGATGGAGGAAAAAGCTATAGCTCAGTGGTGGGCTTGGCAGTGTTAAGTTAATGGTTGGACTCAGTGATCTTGAAGGTCTTTTCCGACCTTAACAATTCTATGATCTGACTGTATTAAACCTTTGAATTTGGTACACAAAGAAAGAAATGCACGTGCTTGCTTTATATTATGTTTTAAAAGGTTGTGTGTCTAAGCAAGCCTAGCAACCT